AATCCGTAGAAATAGCTCTTCTCGTCTTTCAAAAAAGATAAAATTCAGAGTGCACAAGACCAGCATCTGATGTGTACCATAATGTGTTCTCAACCAACAGACAGCTCTGCCAAAACTTTATCAGCTAACAGATTAGAAACTCAACAGAGAAAACCGTATTGAAAGAAAGAAAGAAAGAAAGAAAGAAAGAAAGAAAGAAAGAAAGAACCTAGTGAGTTAAGGGATGCACAGCAATGCCAGGACGGATGGGAAACAATAGTAACCTGGAAATGTATTATGGAAATGTCCACACAGCAGTCTCTCCATTTCCTCCATAGTTGTCAAGGAGCACATTTTCATGAGTTGCCAGGGTGACAGGTTAGCAGTGCATCCAGAATTAAAGCCGTTGCCATCCTAGCATCTCTCTCATTATTTTGGATCACTGTGAAGAAGCTATGAGAACGCTAATTGCATTTTGTTGTTACATAAAAACTACGGCCTGAGCGACTCAAAGAATGGACTCCCTCCCCCCTCCCGCCCCTTTTTGACCAATGTCAGAATTTGCAATTCAGGCTGAACAAAGGTATGAACCTATGCTTCCCACTGCTCTTCCTTTCCCACCCCAACACTTGCCCTGTTAGGAAGAGGCTGCTGCTCTGCCAACAACATCCCATTTTCAAAAAATCCATGCAGGGAACTATTATGTTACAAGGTGACAGGGCAGCCACCGAAAATGAGATGTCAGTGTCCGGTTCCCCCTCCCTCTCTGTAATATCGAGTTCCATTTACCCATGTCCAAACGTTGTGATGTGGGTTTTCCTGGCCACACCTCACTTCACTGGCACCAGAGATTCAAAGCATATCCAAGGCTCATTTGAAGCACATGGTTCCCCACGCCCAAATAATCCTGGGAACTGCACTTTGTTAAGGATGCTGGGAATTGGAGCTATGTGAGGAGGAAGCTACGGGCCCCAGGATTGTTTGGGGGGGGGTCATGTGCCTTGGATGTGCTTCCATCAGCCCCGGCCAACATCCTCCAAAGCAGCTGAAGGGCACCAGGTCAGGGAAGGCTGCAGCAGGGGATCAGCGGGGGCCTTTCTCCAGGTGCCCCTGCTCCCCAAGATTGTTGTTGTTTAGTCATTTACTTGTGTCCGGCTCGTCGTGACCCCAGGTGGAAAAGCCAGTGTGGTACCCTGCAGGTGTTATCAAACTGAGGCTCCCATCAGTCTCAGCTGGCATGGTCAATAATCAGGGATGATGGGAGTTGTAGTCCAACAACATCTGGAGTACCCTGTGTTGACAACAGAGTGCAGTACAGTGGTACCTCGGGTTAAGAACTTAACTCGTTCCAGAGGTCCGTTCTTAACCTGAAACTGCACCACTTTAGCTAATGGGGCCTTCCGCTGTTGCTGCGCCGCCGGAGCCCGATATCTGTTCTCATCCTGAAGCAAAGTTCTTAACCCAAGGTACTATTTCTGGGTTAGCGGAGTCTGTAACCTGAAGTGTCTGTGACCCAAGATACCACTGTATGTTGCTCTTCCCTCCACCCCATTGATGATGCACATAGCTTTATCTTTGACGCCTCACTCTCTTTTGATCCCCCATATCTGGCCCATAATCAAACAATGCACTTTACATTGCATGAGTGGGAACCATACTTTCTGTCTCTTCAGAAAAAGCTCTGCTTCCATGCTATAGTCACCTCTCATTTGGCCTACCGCAATGCAAACTCCTCCCCTCTGGTCTCAGCTTGGCCCCCTGATGTCTACCCAGCATTCCACTCTCTTGTTTCATTGCTCAGGTCCAATGAAGCTCCTCCTTAGAAACTGGCACCGTCTTCCCATCTGCTCCTGGATCCAGCACAAACTCTTTGCCACACCTTTGAAACCCTCTACAGTCCCACTATCATCACTCAATGGTTAGAAGGTGTAATATTCTGCTGCGGCCGCTACCTGTTGCTTTTATTTCCTCATCATTTTCAATCAGCCTGGCTGTTTTAGCAATGCTTTGTATTTTGAAAATTGCTGTTGGTTTTCAAAAAAAAGGAGAAAAAGTTAATTGTAAGCCACCTTGCAGATTGGTCTGTAAATTGAAGAGCAGCTTCGAAAGAGTTCCAATAAATACATAGCTGTCTTAATGAAAGATTCTTTTCTTTTCAGTATCCATCTCAAACCTTATAGACTTTCACACAACACCCACCAGCTAAAGAGCAGTTGTTTGCCTCTATACAGGTCCCTTTCTCTGAAAAATTGTTCACTTGAGACGTGGAGAGTTTTCATCCAAAACTGTAGCAATGAGCCATCTGCTGGCAGGGATCAGTTCAATGAGCCAGCAACTAATGTTATTGCAGCACGATTGACTAGCATTTCCCCCGACTTTTTAAACAAACAGCTGCATATAGAAGAAAATGTTCAACAAGGCTATGAATTCCACTTGGTTCACTTTCTGGGAAACGCTGGTCAGGAATTACTGCCGTATAATGGTGCCAAGATATGCCACGTACATTTACAAAACACTTGATGCAGGATTAAATTAGCCTAAACTCGGATCCACTTCGCACAGGCAGGAGATTCCAGAGCAGCCTTTGAGTGGCTACACATATTACTTACTGGCTTGTCTTCAGGTGTGATGCCTCTATTGCGTGAGGGGAAATGAGGGGGCGCGCTCTCTGGCTTCCCCTCTGCTGCATCCCTGCTATCCAGTCCAGCCACCTATAGCTCAGTTGGTTAGAGCGTGGTACTGATATCGCCAAGGCTGCAGGTTCGATCCCCATATAGGATGACTGCATAGTCCTGCATTGCAGGGGGTTGGACTAGATGATCCTCAGGTTCCCTTCCAACTCTATGAGAGGGAATTCGCTGGAGAGGGAAGGCCTGAAGCCTATCCCAGCTCCTTGCACAATCTGCAACCCTGGGGAGATCCCTGAGGGTTGTAAAACATGAGTCACAACTCATGTGAGAGCACTTCTGAACACATGGAAAACTGAGGGGGTCTGGTGACAGAAACCAGCCCCACACTTCCCCTCACACAAGAGAGGCCATGCTCTCCACACGGCAGATGGGTAGACTTCAGGTTGGCCAGATGCATTTGGTTGTTGTTTTAAAACTAAAACTCCAAGATCTATCAAACAGATACAAGCTCAAAAGAGATACGGTTATATTTCATGAGTACCCAGGTGCCTCTCTGAGCCCATCCTGAGCTGCAGAGTTTGATTTCCAAACTGAACTGTCTGAGCTCTCCGTTCTTGCACTCAAAAGCATCCCAGGAGGATAGCTTTTATAACGTTTTAATTTCAGCTTAATTTAGATGCTGATGATAGCTGAGTTGCTGCTAACGGAGAGTCAGAAACTCTTGCCGTTCTACTGCTAAGTAGCTAGGAATCTGCAGCTAGATCCCAATCTGCTTTCGGCCTATCCCTGCATTGCAGTGTGCCAACCACCGCTGAAATCAGCCAGAGATGCCTGGTTAAAGAGTCTCTCATACATAGGACTGAGGAAGAGGAGGAGGACTTTTTAGTAGAAACTTCCCTGAACAACAAACCTGCTACAAACCCAGACCCTTCAAGTGTCCCTATTTTCCAGGAACAGTCCCAGATCTTCATAAGCCAAGCCAGTTTCTGATTTGATCCCGGAATGTCCTGCTTTCCTTGGGACGTATTTAGTTTCATTGGAGAAATGTTGGAGGGTATGGAGTTATGCAACCCCGAGTCAAAAAAACAAGAAACTATTCAACCTTTAGAAGACATCTGAAGGGAGCCCTGTACAGTAAAGGGAAGATTTTAAAAAATGTTTTATTATGTTTTTATACATGATAGAAGTTGCCCAGAGTGGCTGGGGCAACCCAGTCAAATGGGTGGAGTATAAATCATCATCATCATCATCATCATCATCTTACTATGGAATAGTAAAGGTAAAGGGACCCCTGACCATTAGGTCCAGTCGTGGCCGACCCTGGGGTTGCGCTGCTCATCTTGCTTTATTGGTCGAGGGAGCCAGCGTACAGCTTCCGGGTCATGTGGCCAGCATGACTATGCCGCTTCTGGCGAACCAGAGCAGCGCACGGAAACACTGTTTACCTTCCCGCCGGAGCGGTACCTATTTATCTACCGTATTTTTTGCTCTATAAGACGCACCAGACCACAAGACGCACCTAGTTTTTGGAGGAGGAAAACAAGAAAAAAAATATTCTGAATCTCAGAAGCCAGAACAGCAAGAGGAATCGCTGCACAGCGAAAGCAGTGATCCCTCTTGCTGTTCTGGCTTCTGGGATAGCTGCGCAGCCTGCATTCGCTCCATAAGACGCACACACATTTCCCCTTACTTTTTAGGAGGGAAAAAGTGAGTCTTATAGAGCAAAAAATACGGTACTTGCACTTTTGATTTGCTTTCGAACTGCTAGGTTGGCAGGAGCAGGGACTGAGCAATGGGAACTCACGCTATCGCGGGGATTCGAACCGCTGATCTTCTGATCGGCATGTCCTAGGCTCTGTGGTTTAACCCACAGCGCCACCAGCGTCCCATTACTATGGAATAGGACATCCTTATTTTCACTGGAGAAATGTTAGAGGGTATGCAAACCTGCTACAAACCAGAAATGTAACTGGGGAATGCACCAGGAAATGTGGGATGACATCTGCTTGATGTAATATTGCATAATCTCTCCACAAACAAATCAAAATGAATACTGGATCAACATGCCATCTGGAGCCACATTAAGGTAGAGGAAGCTGACAGGTGGTGCCTGTTATATGTAGGAAGGCAGGCCTGTAGCATATTGGCTGCGGTCAGAGTGAGGTTGGTGGGGCCAAAGGAACAGCGATGTTGAGTTCTGGAATTCGCTGCTACAAGATGTAGTGATGGTCGCCAGCTTGGATGGCTCTGAATGAAATTTAGGCAAACTCCTAGAGCAGCATTTCCCAAACTTGGGTCTCCAGCTGTTTTTTCAGACTACAATACCCACCATCCCTGACCACTGGTCTTGCCTGCTAGTGATGATGGGAGTTTTTTTTCTTTTCTTTCTTTATCATTAAGCACTTTATTGAATAGTCACCATACTTTTAGGTTGAATACTGTATACAGGTTCTTTGGAACGGTTCTATCAATAACATACCAGTTCTTTGGAAAAAAGCAACTGCCTTGTGGGGTTCTGCATCCCGAACCAGCTAACTCTCCTGCTTCTGTGTCCCACTAACCACACAGGGGAAGGAGTCTATCTTCATGCTTTCTCATACACTCTGGTGCAGATAACGTTGTTCATTTCACACTCCACAACCAGCTTTCCATCTTCTATTTTTCTTTTTATTGTGGTCTCTTTGCCATCCTATTTCTGCAACTGATTGAGTGACCCATTGTTACAACACTCTTTACTTTCCTGTCGTCTGCTGTGGTCTCATCAAACTGTTCCCCCAGTTTGAAGGAAATCTCGGTGTTCTTTAAACTGCTCTCTGTTTTGATGGTTATAACATCTCCGTTGCAGCTCATGATCACATTGGGCTTGGCAACACCAGCCACCTTGCTGGTGGCAAAGCCCACACCAAGTTCTTTCATGTAGTCATCAAATTTTTCAGTGGAAACAAGCTTCCAAGTTCCCAAAAATTGTTCACACATGGTGTAGGATTAACTAAGTCTCCTGAGGAACTTCTTACAAGTTTAACTAAGCACCACAAAGAGCACAGCCAGTGATGATGGGAGTTGTAGTGCAAAACCAGCTGGAGACCCATGTTCGGGAAACACTGTCTTAGAGTTTGGGTGCTACTTCTAGAAATATGACAAACTTATCCTAAAGGATAGGGCTATCGGTGGCTACTAGCATGATGGCTATTTACTCCCTCCAGTGTAGGAGGTGCTGTGCCATTTAAGAACCAATTCCTGGGAATCACAAGTGGGAAAGAGAGCTGTTGCTTTCAGGTCCTGCTTATGAGCTTCCCATAGGCATCTGGTTGGCCACTGTGAGAAGAGGATACTGGAAAACGTGGGCCTGTAGTCTAATTCTTATTCTACATTATGATGTCATTGTGTGATTTCAGCGGCATTTGGGCAGGGAGGAGGAGGGCAGGGAAATGCCCGCCCCACCCCCATCAACATGCCAATGACTTAATCATTTGATTGCAAGAATCATTTGGCTGAGAAAATAATCATACTAGCATGCTGATTAAATAGCAACCTCAGAGATTCGCTAGTACTAATTTGTGATTATAGCTGCCTGATTTTGATGTATTACAGAGACATTCTGCTTTGTAAACATTCTGCTTACAGTGCAATGCTATGCGTTTCCACTCCGTTTTAAGCCCCATTTAGTTCAATGGGACGCACCCAAGTAAGTGTATATAGGACTGCAGCTGCAGGCTGGAATTCTATGCACACTTAGCAAGGGAGTTGGAGAGACCAAGCACTGTGTAACGCAACTCATTGTTCACATTGGATGTTTTAGACTACAGCTCACATCAGCCACAGCCAGAACAAACATGATGGCTGTGCTGTACCCATCATGGGAGTTGTAGTCCAAAAAGCTGGAAGGCACTACATTGGCCAAGACTTTATGGTTTGTGCCATACACAATTTGCTTGTCTTCACAGTGCTATAAGACTCTTTGCTGCTTTGGGTACTACAGACTAACAAGGCTACCCCTCCAGCAGAGTTCAGATTGTCTTCTAGTGACCTGTTCTTGGAAGATTATCAAGGAGCTTAATGGGGTGTGTGTGTGTGTGAGAGAGAGAGAGAGAGAGAGAGAGAGAGAGAGAGAGATCTCACCCTTACTGATATTCCCTTGCAATCCAGGGTTGCAGAGGTACATTGGGTGTGTTCTGGGTTGCATTCTCTGTTTATGTGGAGCAATGATCAGGCCCCCAGAGGCCAGGTCTGGACTCTGTGTGGGCTTTCAGAAATGCAAAAAATCGGGTAGAAATGGTTCCCTGAAGGCAGAAATCTTGAAAGCCTTCAAGATTTAGAGTTTAGAGAGTTAGAACACTGTTTGTCCTGGGATAGCAGGAAAAAAAACTCCAGTCACAATGATAGTCAAAGCAGGCAATTTAAGAGCAGCCCACAAGGTGAAAATTGTTATGTTTCTCCGTCTGGCACGGACTGACACACAAAGGAAGTGAGAGCAGAAATCGGGGCTGAATGTGAAGAAACAACAGTGTAAGATTGACAGGACAGAAATTAAGAGGTGTGAGTTATAGGGCCCCCCCTCTCTCTCCACCACATTGAAAATAATTCTAGGATGAATGTAAAACCAATTATGAAAAATGACAGTGTCAGTCAACACATTTGTTCTTGCGCAGCTATAAATAATTTAAGACCTATGGCGTGAGCATTGTCTTGGCCAGAAAAAACTGTGAGGGAACTTTCAGGAACTTCATGCGATGGGCAGACCTTCCTAGACTGTCCCAGTTCTGCTGGTGGGTAGAAGAATCATAGGTTTGGTTTATTTAAGTGTTTGTGCACTGATGATGCCAAAAGAAGTAAACAGAGTGTAAGGGGACACATCTGTCAAAAACAGATGAGGAGCCTGTTGCCCTCTGGGTGTCTGGTCTCTAATTCCTATCAGCCTTGACAAACAAGGCCAGCAGTCAGGGATGTTGGAAGCTGAAAATCAATGACATCTGGCTCCCCATCCTTAGTCTAAAATTTGACACAAGGGAGATGAAAGTCTGGGGGGTGGAGGCCAGGGGGGCCTCCACAGGTGTGCCACAGGGGTGGTTGCCCCAGGCACAAAATTGTTAGGGGGGCAAAATTTCAACACCCGGTGCTGCCTCAGTACAGCTGCATGCTTCCATCTCTGGTCTCCACTGAAAATGGCTTCTCCATGCAAACCAGGAAGTTGCCTTTCCAGACAAGGGAATGACTTTTTCTTTTCTTATTTCTTTGGCTACTCTCCTGGGTGACATGGACAGCATTCGGCAGTTGAGTGTGCATGCATACTCCATCCGTTTCCCTCCCACCCACCTCTCCATGCAGTCCCGGGTTCTGGCAACCCACGCTACGCCACTGGTGGAGGCCATGGTAAGCAAGGAAATAATATCCCATTGTTTCCATTGCTGGTGCTCAGACTCAATAGCAGGCTTAGGCTATATACACATCCCCTTTTGCTCCAGTGAATCCCCACTGCTGGGCACATATGGCACTAGCCAGAATGCATACGCACCCTGCAGTTTCTTGAGAAATACTCCACTTGGATGTGTTTCCCGTCAAAGTATGCTTGCATCCAGTTGGAAAGCATAAGCAGCAGTTAAGCTGAGGTGCGTACCTTTGGGGCATTCTTTGCACATGTGCAGGTGACTGCTTTGTGGAATAGGGGATGGGGTTGCAGGTGTGGGGAAACAAATCAGGTAATGCGTCTCGGGTGATGCGCATCCCCACCACCTCTCAGGGGTGCACAGCGCTGCAAAGATGTGGCTTGAAATGCAGTGAGGTGGAAAAAGACCTTGATGCGTTTTAAGCTATGAATGTGTACATAGCCTTGGATACAGCAAAGCATGGGAACAAGCAGCTGAGCCAAAGGCCTCAGAGAAAATGTGGGTCTTGAAGAGGACTCTTAAGGAAGTAAGAAAGGTGCCATCACAAAAGCTCTCCTGAGAGGCAGAGAGAGAGGGAAAGGTAAGGTTGAATTCCGTCTTGTAGTGACGTTGCTGCTGCTGCTGCTGTTTACGTTCTCCTGAGGCGCAGGTGAGCCTTCTCTCTTGGCAGGCTGTGATTGTGAATCACGCCTTCTTTCAGATACACGTAGCAGGACTGCTTAGAACAATGACGCACAGCTCTACGTTCTGAATGGGGAAACCCATCAGAAACTAGGAAAGGTGACTCATTCTGCCCAACAGCCCCCCCTCCTTTCCCCTTCAGCCGAGGACTGGTCTTCAGGTACGTGTGAGAGTGCACAACAAAAGCATTTTGGGAACAGAGAAAAGGAGCAGGTTTGGGGGACAGTGAGAAAGATGCTGCAGTTTGAAACACACACACACACAGAGAGAGAGAGAGAGAGAGAGAGAGAGAGAGAGAGAGAGAAATAATGGTGCTTCTGTAGGGAATCCAATGTGGCCAGTGGATTTGCTGCTTGCAGGAATGCTATTCCCCTTGTCTCTGCCTTTACTTTAGGACATTGGGAATGATGATAGCATCTCCTGGGGTGCTTTTTGCCATTCCCTTGCATGCCAAATGAGGTTGTTTTCCCCCACCCCACCCCCACACAATAAGCTAAGCAGAGAAAGAGGCAGGTTACATTAGCATGCACAGCTATGGTTTAAACTGCCACTTTGGTTTTGAGGAATTCTGAAATCCTTTTATTGTGACCAAGCAGAATGTTGCAAAGCAGCAAGCGAGCTTTTGAGTCCTCCAGAAGTCGACAGCTGCATACACACAACACCTTCAAAGCACGTCGTTTCCCTCAAAAAAATTATGGGTTCTGCAGTTTGCCCCTCACAGAGTTCCCATTCCCAACAACTCCTAAGAAACTTCGGGTCTCGGAATTCATTGAGGGAAAGGATGTGTTCCAAATGCACTTTAAAGGTTCATAGTTTATGCACAGCCTTCATCGGGTTGGATGTTAAGCAAAGCAGGAGGCAGGGGGAGGGGGAAGCTGGGCTGAATGAGAGCCGTACATTGAGAACACTTGTTGGTGTCCATCTGTCTCGAGAGACAATGGCATGTGCCTGTGGGGGTGAAGTCAAATTGCTGCGTTTGCAGCACTGAAGTGACCACCCCAGGGTGCAAGCCTGAGCAATGTGTATGGAGGTCCTTGGCTGCCCAGCTGACAAGACCCCCCTCTTGACCTCGCTGACGAGGCCCTAAGGAAAGCAGAACAATATGTTTGGCAGCAGCTTGGCTGCAGAAGTTGCCAGAAGGAGGCCTACAAGGCACCATCCAACTGTCTTCAGGACTCCACTCTGGATCTGTGTAGGGTTTCACTCCTTAACCTTCTCTCCTCCTGAAGATATCCCGCAAGGAAGCAGAGGTTTAGGATCAGAGCTCTCCTCCTCCTAGATGGGCTACCTTCCCATGTGGTTGAGCCCCATGTGCCCCTCAACAGCGCATGCAGAAACCGCCTTCTTGACCGTTGGAGTCACTATTGGTCTTGTCCACTCAATCCACCAGAGCCTGTTTTTGCATGCAGGGGAAGTCCCTAACTCGTTGAGGGTTTGAGACCCCTTGGCTACCCCTCACCTGCTTTAGCCAGTTAGTTAAAGCCGTTTCCCAGAGTGCGGCCACTGTCGCATGCTGACAGTTTCTAGGAGCTGCAGGTACGGGGGGGGGACCAAAGGTGGACAAACTACCCCCAAAAGAGCATTGTAACCCTCCACTAATACCCTATACAGTGGTACCTCTGGTTAAGAACTTAATTCGTTCTGGAGGTCCGTTCTTAACCTGAAACTGTTCTTAACCTGAAGCACCACTTTAGCTAATGGGGCCTCCTGCTGCCGCCGCCGTGCGATTTCTGTTCTCATCCTGAAGCAAAGTTCTTAACCCGAGGTACTATTTCTGGGTTAGTGGAGTCTGTAACCTGAAGCGTCTGTAACCCGAGGTACCACTGTACACCCCATTTCAACCACCTTAAACAGTCCTGGCTTCCCCCAAAGAGTTCTGGGAGCTGTAGTTTAAGGGTGCTGAGACTCGTTATGACAACCTCTATTTCTCTCACAGAGCTACAATTTGAGGGATTTAACAACCAAGCCTTCTTCAAAGGTAGCTCTTGGTCATTGTAGGGGAATGGGAATGTGGCCATCTAAGGGTTGTGTCTATGTTGGGGGCTGTTATGAAGAGAACCCACACTTCACTGTTTACCACCACAGCATGGATTGGGCCCGTGCAGTTGGTATATCCCCAGAAGCAAGCCCCCATAGTTAGATTAACCTGCAATCAATGAGGCAAAGGGGCCGAGAAAGTTACCTGCCTCTGTTTGAGATCATCTCCCAAACATGAGGCACTTATGGCAAGACTTGGACCCGCCGCTGGAATGGAAAAGCCCATCTGGGACCAGAGAAGGTGATGTGTGCCTGTCTCCATCCCACAGAAAGGTGTGCTTTTGGAACTGAGGTATGAATCAGATTTGGAGGCAGTGAGAGAGAGAAATTATGTTGCTTGGTGCACAGAGAGAAAGACAGGGAAAGGCAGAGGAAAAACTGGCTGGTGGTTCTAAGCTGAAAGCATCTGGGGATCTTTCTGTGGGATCTGATGCAGGGCAGTGGATTTGCTCTCCAGGGGAAAGGCTGCAGCTCAGTGGCTGAGCATCGCTTTCCGTGCAGAAGGTCCCAGCTTCAATCTCTGGCATCTCCAAGCAGGGCTGGGAATGTCCCTCGTCTGAAACTCTTGAGAGCTTCTGCCAGTCAGTGTTGGCTGTATTGAGCTAGATAGACCAATGCTCTGACTTGGTATAAGACAGCTCTTTCTGTTCCTAGGATATTATAATGCTGCTTGCCTCCCTACGTTCTTCCTGGACTTGCCCATTTATTCTTGCCCATGCAAGTCGGCAGGTAAAACAAATGTGACCAAAAATGCCCTACACCTCCAGAGGGATCTCTGCTGCAAAAAGGAAATCAATTCCAGCCAATTGCCACCATTCGGGAGCCCTGAGAGGGTGTGGCCCTTGAGCTGGGAATGGTTCTTCTGGATCCCAGGAGAGAAAGCTGCAAATATGACTCAGATCTACCTGAATAGGGCTAACAGTGAAATGGCCAAGGGAAACGGGCAGACGATGTCCATTTTGGAGCAAGAGGAACCTGATAGAGAATGGGCTTGTTTTGATTTCCCTTGTTGCTCAGTGTGCATGGCCTCTAACCTCTCTTCCACTCTTTGCCAGTCTGTTCCTACTAGTCCAGTAATTACTGGGCCAGGTGTTTGCCTGTGTGCCTCTGCCAGGTGTTGTTGTAACCATGGCACTGGGGAGAGGCACAACTTCCCCCCTCCACTGATAAGAGCAGCTTCCAGTTTCTCCTCTCAGTGAAGTCAGTTGGTGGGAAAAGATTCCAAGGAGCAGAGGCTGAAGGGAGGGGGAAGGAGAGAGAGAGAGAGAGCAAATTCAGGCACCGAGCAAAGCCAGTTAGCAGCATCTGCTTCGTTCACCAGCTGGATTGCAAACAGCCCTCCAATTTCCACCTGCTGCAGAGCAGATAATTCTGGAGCTGTTCATCAGAAGGAGCTGGGATAACTAGAGAGGACCTACGCCCAAACCATTGCAAAAGAAACTTGACGCCAACAAGTCTTTTGGAACATTTTCCAAAAAGGCATCCTTGAAGTGTGTGTGTTCTCAAAGAGGAAAAAACCAAATAAGGGCAAACTGAATATTTGCAAAATCTCTGCGTGTTTGCTTCACTGAAAATCCTGCAGTGAGATCTTGAACCAACGACTGTTTGCAGAGTGCCTGATCTTGAAAACTGCTTCCATCGTACTGGAACAGAAGCAGAGAGGCAGACCTGGGGAAACAGGGGTATTATAGAAAGAAGCAGCATCTTTGACAAAGCAACGTAAGCTCTCCAAACTGCAGGGCCACTGATTTAAGTGCAAGCAGCCGACTCTCAGGCCAGAATACTCTTCCCTTGAAATAGCATGACTGACTTATTAGTGTGTGTGAGAGAGAAAGACTAAGCCTAGAGCAAGGAACGTCGCAGAGCGGGACTGATTTGAATACTCTGGTCCACTGTCGAAAACTCAACCCCCCACAGATATAGTTGGAGAATAAGCTGGAGACTCACAGCATCATGGAAGATGAGGAAGGTAAGGACCTTAGATTCTTTATTTGGAAGAAAAATAAAATAAAACTTGGTTTGCTTAAGACCTGCTCTCCAAAGTTGATTTAAAAAAAACAATTAAGTAGATTTTTCTCATGCTGCTAATCCAGTCTCTGTGTAATTAAGTAGTTACGTGTGATCACCTAGCAATCAAGAAGAACTTTTTGATTTGATTGTTTGTTGCTGTTTCCCCTGGGCAAAACATGCTTTATTTTGAATGACCTAAACAGCTAGTGAAGGGATGTGTAAGGGGGGGGTGAGGCACCTTTTGTTTCTGTAACCAGTGCTTTGTAAATGCTGTTTTACATATCAAAGCAACTGTACAATGCCCCCTGTAGCTAAGTGCTGATTTGAACACTTCATTTCTTAGTTGGCTCTGATCCGTGCTTCCAGGGGGTCTCCAAGAGCTTTTTTGTTTTATAAGCCCCAGAATCAAGGAGTCCCATCTCAGTATTTGCTGTAACCCATGCAAGCTACGTAGGTCGGATTTGTGAAGTGCTTCAGACTGTCCTAAAATCTCCTGGGTCCACACAGCTGATGGGGACCAGTGGAGTCCACGTGGCTGCCGGCATTCGCCACAGAGAAGTCCTGGGAGGAAAAGAGCCTGCTCGTATGAAACCCCTCTTCCATGGTGCAGGGTTGCATGCCAAACCAGGAACAGGGGGGAACCTGTTGTCTGCACAAGGATGGATGTCATGGGATGGATGCAATGTCTGCATCTAGACCCCCATCACTGGATTGATTAGCCACTGTTGATCTGGCCAGCAGGCTCTGTTTGTGCCAGGGAGCAATGTGTCTCAGCCTACTATTTGTTTTCTCTTTGGGGAGGAAAATGTCCTCTCTTTTCCCCCCTCACTCTTCCCTCAGAACACCCTGCTGTTGCGTCCATCCGCTAGTACCAAAATGGCTTCCGATTTCCCCAGATCTTGGCACACAAAGTACCTTCACAATTCTTCAAGGATGGGGACACCTGCTGCCCTCCGCCTGTTGCTGAACTCCAGCTTCCCTCAGCCCCAGTCAGCATGGTGAAGCAGTCAATCTTCTATGCTGACAGAGCAGAAGATTTTCAAATTACGTAATGGGGCTGTAGTTCAGGAGATGGCTTCCTAACTTCTAATGGGAAGGGACATGATGTAGGTGTTATACGGCCAGCAGGACTGACCTAAGACATTTTGCTGCTTCAGGTGGAACAATAAATAGCTCCCACATCTCCTCAAGTCATGATGCACAGCAGCACCCAAGATTAGCCAAGTCCTTTTCGCACCTGAAGCAGAAGATTCTCCCCAGGAAGAAGCTGGCCAGGTGTCAGAAACTAAGGAGACCCTCAGTGACAGCAACCACAGGAGTCTACCTTGGGCACCTTAAATGCTCACAAATTGTTTGTGGCATATGCTTTCATGCACTAGAGGCTATTTCACTGTGACTTTTAAATAGGAGGTCAACTAGAAATAAACAGCCAAAGACAAGTTGTTATTGTTATTCTGTTGTAAAATGCAGCCACTTCTTACTTTTTTATTATTTCAAAATAATAAAAAAACGTGTTTATTTCATATACATGAATAGCTTTGCTGGTCAATGTTTGCCTGCTGAAGAGGCACTTCTGTCACCAGGCCTTTATCACCTGAGTTGTATGTTTTTTGGATCTACCCTATTCTTGTGGATATGGTTTGTTTCAGACTGTTTTAATATTGCATTAGAAATTGTTGTAACCCTCTCTCGGAACATTTGATGCAGGGCAGATAATAACAGTAGTCGTAATAATAATAATAGCAATGACAAGTTTTCTGTCTAAAAGCAAAAGCAAAACAAAGCTAAGATATGTGCTTTGGACCTAGAGAGGGTTAGCAGAGCTGTCATTATTGCCACATGAGGTTGTTGCACTGCACATTCCTGCCACATTCACACCATACATTTAAAGCACTATAAACAGTTGTTGTGTGCCCCCCCCCCCAAGTATTCTGGGAGCTGTAGTTTGTTAAGGGTGCTGAGAGCTGTTAGGAGATTCCCTATTCCCTTCACAGATCTACAATTTGCAGAGTGGTTTAACAATCTCTCTTCACAGGGAACTCCAGGAATTGTAGTTCTCAGCATCCTAACAAACTACAGCTCCCAGAATTCCTTGGGGGGGGTAGCCACGACTTTTTAAAGTGGCATCATAGTACTTTATGGTGTGAAGATGATCTTGGAGTTAGTTGCCTTCTTTGGAGTTTTTTTAGGTCGGAGCCCATTCCCCTTTGGACTATGGTTGTTGGTTCTATTTTCACATGCCTCCCAAAAACAGAAGATCCTTTGGGGGAAAGGCTGTAGCTCAGAAGTAGAGCATCAGCAGAAGGTCTTCGGTTCAATCCCCAACATCTCCAGATAGGGCTGAGGACTTCCCCAGCCTGAAACCCTGAGGAACCATTGCCATTCAGTGGTGACCATAGAGGGATCAGTAGTGGATTCTCATGTTCCATGTGAGTTGTGAAACCTTTGTGTCGAGATCGCTTATTGCCTTGAAGTGAAGAGGAGCTAAAATAACTGAACTAATTTGCACTGAAGCAAGATGAAGGGAGAACAACGCCTCAGTAGGTGCAGGCAGGGGGAGAACTATATTATTTCAGTTATTCCAAATAGATAAGCTCCCTGTAAACCTCAATAGGTATGTGTTTTGTGTGCCACCACAGGCTTAGCTTTGTTTTCAGTTGCTGTTTTTAACCTTTAATGGTGTTGTTGTGATTTAAGCACATTTTTATAACTAGATTTGAAGTAGTTTTCTGTAGGTTTAATGCAGGCCGCTTCGAGTACACTTGTGAAAGAGCAGGATTTAGATATACGTGAATACTTACAAGAGCATATTTTCACAAACCAATGAATTGCAAGTTTATCTTTCATTTCTTTGGGTTTTCCCTACCGATCCACCCAGGTGACACATCCTGCCCTACCAACAGCAGCCCATCCTTCACCAGGAATGAAAGCCAGATCTATAGGGGGAACTATACCTTCTCCTCCTACTATCAGCACTCCTCTCCAGTGGCCGCCATGTTTATTGTTGCCTACGTCTGTATCTTCTTCGTGTGCATGGTCGGCAACATGCTGGTGTGCTTCATAGTGCTGAAGAACCGGCAGATGAGAACAGTCACCAACATATTCATCCTCAACCTGGCTATCAGTGATGTCTTGGTGGGGATCTTCTGCATGCCAACCACCCTGGTGGACAACCTGATTACAGGTGAGTGAAAGAATAAAGTGCAAACACATCGGAACATAAGAAGAGAGCCCTGTTGGATCAGGCCAAAGGCCAATGCTGACCTGCATCCTTTTCCCACAGTGGTCAGCCAGATGCGTATGAGGAGCATTTGGGTGTTTAGAGGCATATGGTCTCTGATACAGAAGGTAATACTAACAAATGAAATGCTAACAAGTCTCCTGTGTCATTAGGACTGTTCGATAAGCTTACAGTGGTACCTCTGGTTACGGACTTAATTCATTCTGGAGGTCCGATCTTAACCTGAAACTGTTCTTAACCTGAAGCACCAATTTAGCTAATGGGGCCTCCCACTGCCGCCATGCCGCCACCACTCGATTTCTGTTCTCATCCTGAGGTAAAGTTCTTAACCCAAGGTACTATTTCTGGGTTAGTGGAGTCTGTAACCTGAAGCGTCTGTAACCTGAAGTGTCTGTAACCTGAAGCGTCTGTAACCTGAGGTACCACTATATTTATAAATGTTGGGCCTTGCTGGTTTTGGAACCTATCTACTGTCTCCAATAGGACTACCTTAAAATGACAGAATATGCAATTGTGCAGATGTTTCCTAGAATGCAATTATTTTCTTCAGGCAGACTTTCCTCATTTTGAAGTCTATCTTTTTTCTTTTGTGAGCTAAGGCAGCTGGTGTTCCTGTGACAAATACTGGTGGCAGAGTGACAGATATTGTATTCATAGATTAACTTCATTGGGAGACAGAATGAGAAGTATTGAGATTTATGAGGTTTGTTTTTTTCCATTCACGCAGAGAACAACTTGGTTTTGTTATTGGAAAAAAGGGCAACAGTCTCCAATAATAATTTCTGCTATGATTCTCCCCAAGGAGGGATTATCCTCTTCAGTTCTTTAACATGTGCAACATGTTTGCACAACCAAATGGTGGTACTTATGCCCTGCAAATTGTGTTGAGGTTAAGGATGCTGAAAAATCCCAATTGCAGAAACTGCTGGTGTTTGCTTATTTGTACCATGTCCAGAATGAAATCAATCAAGTGAATATGGTCAGTATTCACTGTTGTTGTTTGCAGTCAACAAATAATATATGATCGATGAGACACACACTCCTTGGAATTTGCACTTCATTTCCTTTGCATTAAAATAAATGGTGTGGAGTAACATAGTGATAACATAATTCATTACACATAATTTCACCATAGTAGACAGGAAGAAGGATAGCTTAATATTAGTCAGAAGCCAAACTGCAGTGGAATGGAAACAGCGCTGCAGCAACAAATTCAAGGCAGAACATAAATCAATGCCTTTTTACACCCATAACTGAAGCACCTAGTTTTGGGACTTCACAAATTTCATGACATTCCTAATCCTGACATCTTTATGTCTTTGTGCTCTCTGTAGTCAGAGGGGAAGAGAGTGGAAATAGTGGAGCAAAGAGCTGGGAAAATACTACTTAACTAGCAAAGGTGGCTGACAGAGGGTCTCTGAACAAGAATGGCTTGCAACCATTGGCTCTTGCAAAATAAGGAGAGTATCAGCAACTCTATTATTTAATTGTGTTCTATGAAAGCACAATTTCCAGTTTTGTTCTGTCCCATCTCTGGCCAAGGCTTTCTCTGTTCGCTGAATGGTAGGCATGCCCAGTCCAAGAATTCTGCAAATTTTCTCCAGTGTTCCTCAAGACCATAATTTGTGAGAAAAGATAATGCTTCTCAGTGCTCATCCAAGTGACTCAGATGGCTGAATGATGAGTTCCAGTCAAATGCCATATAGACACCCAAAGACTGCAGCATGAGCTATGCCCCCAAAGTCCTTTCTCTTTCCAGAGCCACTTTTCCTAATTCACACCCAATGGGGATAGGGCATAAGGTGTCGGCCTTTGGCAGAGCAGCAACTGGTTCATTTGGAGCCAGAGATTTGGCAACCATAATGGCACCCTGAACTACACCACCGCAACCACTCTATTCCTCTTCCTGACTTGTTGACCCATTGTATCCCTTCCAACCCTCCAACTCTATGATTCTATGATCCCCAGACCTATGGATTATAGCATTACCCCAATAGAGTCTGTTCTGCTTGCTATCCAACAATTCTGGGAGTGAAATTCCTGTACTTGAAAGCATCTCTCAGGGTTGGCCAACCTATGAAGCCAGGTGAGGCATCTGCCTCAGGCGGCAAGATTCCCAGGGGCAGCAAATCCCAACACTGATCGTTCTTCCCCACTTGTTCATCGTGTTGATCTCTCCTCACCCCTTCTTCCCTGGTGGGAGGACTCCCACCATTGAGGGGTTTGCCTCAGGGGCCCAAATACCTTGGGCCAGCCCTAGCATCTCTAAACAGTAAATCTGGTTTTCTGGGTCGTATCAAAGTCTAAGATAGCAAGGATGTTCAGCGGCTGATTGTTACTCCAGATGGGAGGCTGGGAATTCACATTCTGCAAGCATTAGCATCTTTGTAACAGCCGGGGGGGACATGGCATGGCAGGGTGGAGAAAAACAAAATCTAAAAGAGCACGAGTAATGTCTGCCTCTTTCAAGAAACAATAGCTCAAGGATTTGAATGTCAGGGGACATAATTGAACTTCTGCCCGCCATTCTTTCCTTCTTCCAGCAACATGCACATTCATTTCAGTGGAGAGCAACATCTTTCACAATGTACAGCATCCACGTTTGTCGAGATGAAGCTCCAGACAGTGTGATCAACAGAAAACATTTATCCGTGTGCAAACTGTAACATAATTGTTTCCTGACTGCTGAGTCACCTCCCTTTCCTTAAGAGCTTTTGTGGATTTGGGAGCTTTGGAAACCCTGCTCCGTTCATACTGCAGGTCGGGGTATGTATGCTGTAGATCTGGCAGAAACCACAATTTGGCAGAAACATGGTTCATTCACCTATTTACACCTTTAGTCTGCATGGAGGAGCCCAGATTTTACAGCATGGCCGTTTCAAGAGGGGCTTGTCCTCCACAGCCATGGAGTCCAAGGCATCTCTCCCAGACTGCCTTCAGCCAGCCTGCCCAAGATGGATCCCAGTCTTTTCCTCCTCCTCCTCCTTCACAGAACACCCTGCTAAAAACTCTCTTTTCCTGTCACCTCATTACCCTGTTACCCCAGTAATCTTCCCAACTTCCAGTCTCTGTTCACACCTCAGGGCAAGGGGGAAAGGACAGTTCTCTTGCATTGCCAATGATCCTGTGTTGTTTCTTAATGGCCCTAACTTGGCCAGGTCATTTTGCATACACTAGTTCCAGAATTCCTCTGCGGTTTGTATTTCTCCTTTCATATCCGAAATAATCAAAATCCTATGATTTATTAATTTCTAGGGTTTAGTGTCCCCCCCCCCGAATATTTATAACAATAGGAAGCCTCAGGTGCTTCAAAGCACTGCTCGGGGTTCTTTAAAAATCCTGCATAGTGCTTTGAAAACCCAACTTTGGGAGTTCAAAGCATTCAGTCATCTGATATCAAATTTAACTCGTGAGTCTAGCATCTGCTAAGGAACACACGAGCCAAAATGGTTTCTTATTCCATACTAGGCATGACCATCACCCATTCAAAGAAGGAGCCACCAATTCTACCAGGCTGAAGCAAGTCACTTGTGTAAGCCTATGCAGATCTCTGAATCTCAGCCGATATTTCATAGACCTTACTATGTCTAATATTCCTTAGACTCTGGGATATTCAGTGAAGTGGTGTTGAGAGATAGCTGTCAACAAGCGATTTGTTTTTCTTATCCCTTTTAACCAGCAAGGAGGTGGAAATGTGATAATGAAAGGTTAAGATGCAAGCTACTACTTATGGAGAACTGCAGATAAGATATGGAAATGCCCGAGATGTTTTGCCCAAACATCAAATACCTTATTAGCATAATTCCTCATTCCAGTGGAGCATGTCAGTATAGCAGCATGCCAGAAACCAGTTAGGGGGCAATTCATTGATCACTTAGAGTGGAGAAATCTGATTGGCCTCAGTGGAGCTTAGCTCACTGTAAATGACCCTTGAATATTTCTCTTTAGGCAAGTCTGAGCTCTGCCTAATGCCAAATCTAAGTGATGTTCTGATTGGACTTTGGATTGGATTGCAGGACTGAGCCATTGCTGTTTTTAATCCTGAAAGCAGCAATAGGAAAGAAGCCAAGCTGCATGCTTAAAGCTAATGCTCCATGTATGTGTGTTCGAAAAACACCGTTCTGAAATTATGTTATGATTCACATTTCTGCTGTCCAAACGAAAGGGAGCAAAGGCAGGCCCATTTTCACCACGGAAAGCCGCAAGTGCTGAGAGCCTGAGAGACGAGCACAAAAAGATACAAAGGAGTTTTGGAAACAGATATTACGCTACTGGCTGCCTCTATCTCTGTTTTTGCTGCAGTAGGTAGCCCTGGCATTGCACTCTTGTAAGCTAATTTGTACTTAAAACAAGATCAGATTTCTGACTAATTATTATGCAGAGCAGGCAGGCACATTCCGACTCAGCCGGGGCGGCCCTGTCAACGGCTGAAAACCTTAATTTGTTAAAATCATATTTATGTTTCTGAACTGCTATTAGCACTTCAGAGCTATGCCTAAAAGACCCCATTCCACACTGTATCCTTTTAATCAACAGAATAATGAGCTACATGCCAGTTACGAGATTGCTATTGCTTCCCCAGCTCCCAGGGAGGATAGCTTCAATTTCCCTCTCTGATTTTAGTGAATTAAGGATGGGATTCACCTAACCTGTTACTGGAAGCTGTGCACAAGGACTTTCACTTGCACAGTGGGGCCTTCCCTCCCCCCATGTCACCCACACCCCTGAAATTAGCTCTGGAAAGGGTCAGGAGAACCCCCAGAATAGCATGGGGGGGGGAAGGATAGTTCACTTTGGCAAGCGGGAATGCTTGAGCAAAGGAAAGGATTTTTTGAATTCCACCCTATGTATCCAGCTGTCTATGGGTGGTAGTCAATGCTAGTCTTCCTCAGAGTAGGCCCATTTGAATCAATGAACCTTATTTAATCATGCCCATTAACTTCAGTGAGTACACTCTGAGTAAGATTAGCACTGAATACCTTGTTTTATTTACACATTAAGATCTGGAAATTCAGGATACCAATTCAAATTCCCTGCAGTGGTGCCATTAGGTGCCCCTGGCTTATTGGAGAATTAAAAAAAACAGAACACATTTATCCTATGTGACTGTAAATAAATATGTGGTTAAGTGGTGGTATGTACCTTGAGTGAGGCTCTGTTGTTTAAGCTGCTACGTCTGTCTCTAAAAAGTCACCCCAGGCTTGAGTGTGAGTTGTCTCAGCTAGAAGCTTCCCTGGGCTTGCTGACATCTTCATTTGCTCTTGATCTGTAGAAAGTCAAATAGCTCCTCCCCATCGCCACCTCCACTTGCTGTTAACGATGGTTACTTCGTTGTAGATGTCGAAGCTCTTCCGTTATTTATATGGTCTTTGTGTTTCTACAACAGAGGTTGCTGGGCTAGAACTCCCAGCAGCCCCAGCTAGCATGACAAGTGGTCACAGATTATGAGATTTGTTGTCTAACAACATCTGGAGGGTCTCAGGTTCACCTCCCCTGCTTTACCGTATCAGTCTCCCCCAGTCCTTTCCCCATTTCTTGGCTTCAGAGAACCCATTCCACATTGGTTCACATTGACCATTCAACAGGAACACCTTGCAGAGGATTCTGGGAAATGTTCTTGGGTGCGCAATAAGTGCACACATGAAGCCTTATGTGAAATGGGAGGGCACTGCAGGAACTAGCCTGTGTTCTCTGAAGGCTGTGAATTGGACTGCAATGAAAAAAATTGATCCATCGTGGACAAACTGCCCTTGAGGGAAGTCGATCCAACATGACGGTTCTGCTAACAGAAAAATAGGTTTTGAACTCCACTGTGTTTAGCCTGTGGTCTATAGTAAATAAAATAATACACAGTGGAATGGTTTTTCTCAAATGCTTTTTAATTTAGCAATTTGAGCTTTGGGGTTTACAGTGACTAGCACCATTCCCAATTACAGGCCACAGCAATGCAGATAGAATATCTACCCAGTTTCAGTCCCCAGTATTTTCAGGTAAGGCTGAGGGGAAAAAACCTTCCAAACCCCTGGAGAGTTGCTTGACATTATCCTGTAGATAATGTCATGGCAGATGGACCAGTGGTCTGACAAGGCAGCTTATTATGGGAAGGAAAAGTTGTAGGGCAGTGGTTTGGCACCTGCTCTGCATGTCAAAAAGCCCCGGCATCTCCAGGTACGACTGAGAGAGACGCATCTGAGATTCTGGAGGCCTACAAGGAGTCCCTAGAGACAAAATACTGAGCTAGAGGGACCTAAAGTTTGCCAGCTTTGTATGTTCCTATAGCACGTCTGTCTCTTTGAACATTCTGGGTCTAAAAGCTGTCATTTGGAGATAGAGATTAATGAAATATTATGTCCGTTCTCCTGCTTTCCTTCTGTCCCCCACCCCTCCTGTAATGATCGATGGTCTGTATGTTGCCTCTAAGTATACCTTTCCCCTCCTCATCAAGTGACAACTGTCCACTTACCCTCTTATCACCTTGAGCACTTATAGCTGTCAAGCGGGGGGCTAAATGCACCAGTAACTTTGAGGATTCACTCTGCTGCTGAAGTCAATAGAGAGCCATCACAGCAGTAAAGCAAAAAAGAGGTTTGTTCTCAAAACAAGTGCAGATTTTGCAGCAAAAGCTCTGAACGTATTTTTAAATGTGTGGCTCACTCCCATATTTAGCTAGTTCTCTTCACTATCTGCTCTCTGACGTTTCCTGCAGAACTTTACACCCGTCTTTCCAATCTGCAACCAACATATATGATGAAAATGAAGCACATTTGCATAATTTCTGATACAAATAATAATTAGTAGCATCATTATGCATATGTTCTGATTCTGCTAGGCATGGAAAGGAGCGGTGCAATTGCAGCGCTGGAATCCTGCCCCCTTGCACTTACGCAGCAATTGCTTTTGCTTCTGAGATTTTGCTAAAGATTGCCTCTGCACATTAAAATCTTTTCAGTCCAAAGGGCTAGAAAATTCTTTCCAAACAAAAAAAGAAAGCTTTGCCCATATCCTCTCTACTGATTAGAGTATGTCTAATCAATCAATATCTCCCCTCATATAAGACACCTGTGTTAGAAGGGAACAGCAAGCGCTTAGGGCAGGAGAGTTTTCTGCACATTCTCTCGAAGGAGATGTCAATCTTTTTCTTTTTTGACAGTAGGAAGTTCTAAATGGGTAGCTGTGATACCACATGCAGCTAGCTCTGGTGCCCTGCACAAATCTGACTTATTCAGAAATGAATGGGATTGTGATCATATGGTGAATGGAGACATCTAGAGGAAGCTGAAAACATTAAAGGCCGAACGCAGCATGCTTACAAGCTTGGGAGCACTGTATTTCTAAAGGACAACACAGTCCTGCTTGCTACAGGAAGATAGATAAGGCCTGCCTCAGAACATTTGGGCATTTAAAATAGATAATCCAAATTACTCCACCTCAAGGAACAAAACTACCCTGTAGTGTAGAAGGTTGAAGCTAATCTTGAACACAAAATGCGTGTGATTTTTTTAAAACATAATTTAAAATAGACACCATAAACACAGGGAATGGTGTCCCTATGGGAAATGGGATTATGCTGAATGAAAGTCCAGAGGAAGCCACTGAAAGGGTCTGCTGGCACCTTTGTTACTGCTGGATCTGAGCCTGGGAAACTGAAAAGAAAATTTGTTGGCCAAGCGATGCAATAGGATATTATAATTAGTATGAAATCCCCATCTTTGAAAAAGAGAGAAACATGGATAAACGTTGGGTTGAAAACAAACAAATCGTGATGGGGTTGCAGCAGCCGAATGGTGATTCCCATGGGCATGGGATCTCTCACGGGAACCTGATGCTAACTTGCAACTTGTGAATGCTTTGGAGGCATTTATTTGTGCTTGTTTGTCAATGAATGGTTATATGTCACATTGGTCAGGCTACACTGGTTGCAGTCGTTTCCCAGAAAACATTTTTTTCCACAGTTTCCAATAAATATTACAATATTGTTGCATGTTTGGGGAGTCGGTCCGCATGATACCAGAGTCCTTTCTGATTCTTGGCGTCCAAACTAGACGTGGTTTAGCAGCTCTCAGAGAAGGCTCGGGTTCGATCACTATGTGTTTGCTATATTACCTCTCATGAGGTCCAGAATGTTAAGAAATGCACTGCAGTTGACACTCTGTATATCATTCCAGGCTGGCCATTTGACATCACCATGTGTAAAATGAGTGGCTTGGTGCAAGGGATGTCTGTCTCTGCTTCCGTGTTCACCCTGGTGGCCATTGCTGTGGAAAGGTAGGTTTGTTCTATTTATTTCAAAGCGGTTATAAACCACTTAGTGTTTCTAAAAACCTCAAATTGACATGCAGCATAAAAACAGTAAATGGTTTCATTAACACAAAGGCAACATTCCATATAAGAACAGGAAAAATACAGTATATTAAAAAAATAAATAAACAGGAATTCATGCAGACAAAAACAGGGTGTGATTTCATGGGTCAGGTCATTGGCCATTGTGACCCATATGTTGGCAACCTCCTATCTGGACTATTGCAGTGTGCTTGATGTGTGGCTTCCCTCGCAGCTTGCCCAGACACCTGCAGATAGTAGAGAACACCACAGCCCGGGTGATGCTCCTTTTCGGGCCCATACCATGCCAACGCTGAGGGATTTGTACTGGGCTGCCTTCTAGCCACCAAGCCAACTTTAAGGTTCTGCTGCTTACATAAAAAAAGGTAAAGGTAAAGGACCCCTGATAGTTAAGTCCAGTCGCAGACAACTCTGGGGTTGCTGCGCTCATCTCGCTTTACAGGCCGAGGGAGCCGGCGTTTTGTCCGCAGACAGTTCTTCTGGGTCATGTGGCCAGCATGACTAAACCGCTTCTGGGGCAACGGATCACTGAAACCAGAGCAGCACATGGGAATGCCATTTACCTTCCCACTGGAGTGGTACCTATTTATCTACTTGCACTGGCATGCTTTCGAACTGCTAGGTTGGCAGGAGCTGGGACCGAGCAATGGGAGCGCACCCCGTTGTGGGGATTTGAACCACTAATTTTTTGATCGGCAAGCCCAAGAGGCTCAGTGGTTTAGACCACAGTGCCACCCGCGCCCCTGCTGCTTACATACAAATTCCTAAATAACTTTGGACCAAGGCTACCCTCCACTGCCCAGCCTTGCAACCAGCTTTCGGAACCCAGTTACTTTTGTCATGACCCAATGATGATTGGCTTGTGGTAACACAGAGGAGGCTTCCCTCCCCCCCCCCCACTGGGGGCACCAGTTTTGCAGAACGCCCTCCCTGCTGAAATATGAGACCCCATCACTATTGGGATTCCACTACCTCCTGAATGCCTACCAGTTTAGACAAACATTCCCTTGAACTCCCTGATTTGTTTTTAAATTGTTTTAATTGTCATGCTTTTTAAACTGGCTTTTGTTTTACTGTATATTTTAATTAAGGACGTTTTGGTGCTTCCATTACGCATGGAATTTTGTTTATTGATTTTATAGTTGCAAACCACTTCAAAACCATTTTGGCATATACACAGTATATTTTGTTGTTGTTGTTTAGTCGTTTAGTCGTGTCTGACTCTTCGTGACCCCATGGACCAGAGCACACCAGGCACTCCTGTCTTCCACTGCCTCCCGCAGTTTGGTCAAACTCATGTTGGTAGCTTCGAGAACACTGTCCAACCATCTCGTCCTCTGTCATCCCTTTCTCCTTGTGCCCTCCATCTTTCCCAACATCAGGGTCTTTTCCAGGGAGTCTTCTCTTCTCATGAGGTGGTCAAAGTATTGGAGCCTCAGCTTCAGGATCTGTCCTTCCAGTGAGCACTCAGGGCTGATTTCCTTCAGAATGGATAGGTTTGATCTTCTTGCAGTCCATAGGACTCTCAAGAGTCTCCTCCAGAACCATAATTCAAAAGCATCAATACTTCGGCGATCAGCCTTCTTTATGGTCCAGCTCTCACTTCCATACATCACTACTGGGAAAACCATAGCTTTAACTATACGGACCTTTGTCGGCAACACAGTATATTAGCTATTATTAATAATAAATAATAGCCAACACAGTAAATAAGCAACCATTTTTAAACCCCCATCAAAGGCATATGCAGAGCCCCAAAATAACCTTCTCTGTCAACTATGGGAAATGTTACAATGGTGCCATATATAATTTTGATAACATTTTATCCGTTCATTATTTATGTTTAACATTTTTATTGCTTCTACCTTCTCTATAACCCACTGTCTCTGAGGATCTATCGCACATTGCATTGTTTTTAACTTCTTGCAACTCTCCTTGAATGTTTTGGTAGAAAAGTAGGATGGAAATTAGAATAACACCTCCGTTCTCCCAACAAGGGCTTCAGGGAGAAATAGTTTTCCCTCCCTACATTTTATCAGCACAACAACCCTGTAAGGTAGGTTGGGCTGATTAGCCCCTCATATCATGTCTGAGCAGGAATCTGAGCCCAGGATCCCCTGACTGAGGTCTGGCTGCAGCATTAGTTTCACAAGCTGCTCATGTTTGCTTTTGCCAATGAGAACTTTGGGGTCTATTGAAGTTTGTTCATATGTTTTAATGACGTTTTGTCCTGAAATTATCATCTCCTTTTAGAAAAGCTAGAAAGCCACGACTGAGATGCAGTTTTCCCTCATGTTGTTATTAGCTCGCCATGCTGGAAAAGTGCCTTCTTAAAATGTCGCTTATAAAAGGCCCTTTAAATCCCTTGTGTTCTGGTACAGTACATCCCACAAGTCTCTCAGCAGACCATGAAGGAAATGCTTGTTTCTCATAGCTTTTCCAGTGTTGTATCTGAATATATTGCTTTTTCCCTCTTCTCGCTTAGGTTCCGCTGTATCGTGTACCCATTCAGGCAGAAGCTAACCCTAAGGAAAGCTCTGGTCACCATCATTATAATTTGGGTCTTAGCCTTAATCATCATGTGCCCCTCAGCAGTCACCTTGACCGTCACCCGGGATGAGTACCACTTCATGCTAGATGCCTACAACAATTCCTACCCGCTCTACACCTGCTGGGAGGCATGGCCAGACAAGGAGATGCGCAAGATCTACACAACCGTTCTTTTCTCACACATTTACCTGGCCCCTCTCACCTCGATTGTGATTATGTACGCTCGGATTGCCTACAAACTCTTCAAGTCATCCGCAAGCATTAGAGGCTCCCAGTCGGAGGAGAACGAGGGAAGGAGAGTGTCCAAGAGGAAAATCAGAGTTATCAACATGTTGATCATTGTGGCGTTGTTCTTTACCCTCTCTTGGCTGCCCCTCTGGACTTTATTGCTGCTGACAGACTACGGGAACCTCACCGAGAATCAACTCAACCTCATCACGGTTTATTTTTTCCCCTTTGCCCATTGGCTGGCTTTCTTTAACAGTAGCATCAACCCAATCATCTACGGGTACTTCAACGAGAACTTCCGGCGAGGATTCCAGGAGGCCTTCCAAGTACAGCTCTGCTCCATGGAAACAGAACACAAAAACACCTATTCTGACAGGACCAACAGTGGACTGCTTTTTGGGGCACGCAATCGGATTTTTGTCGAAGTTCAAGGCAGTGACTCAGCACAGCCCTCTGAGTCTGGTCAGAGTAACCTTTTGAGAACAGGGCTGTATCCTGCAAGGAACGGAAGGGTAGCTCACCATGGTCTGATGGTGGAGGACTTTGACAGCAAAAGTTGCTCCCCCAAAACTGTCAGTATCCCAGCTTGGGATATCTAAGGATATTTAAGATGCTGATGGATTGATTATACAATATATTGTTACATTACTTTCACAGCATGTGAGCCAAATCCATTTCCAGTAAGCTTTTCAAGACCAAAACCCACTGTCGGTGTAGATATCTAAGTGAAGGGACTTGACGTTTGTGGAACTTCCTCTTCTTATTCTGGGTTTTGATACTTCAGTATGACACGCACCAGTTTTTATAAAGCACTGCAATTTATAAATGCTTATTCCTCCCCTTAGAACCTTGTATATATTCCAAATGAGGTGTTGGGATTCAGGCCTGTGTTCAGGGCTGTCTTAAGCATATCTCACAGAGTTGTCGACCTTTTTTTAAGGGGGGGACTTCGGTCCAGCTTGTTTACATCGCATGGTCCAACGCGTGCTCGGCGCTGCATGTAAGTAAGAGGCGCCCAGATCGCAGCCCAGACGGCCTCCCACGAAGCCTCCCTCTAAGTGCCCAGCGCCCCTTACATGTCCCCATCCAGAGAAGTCCGCATGACAGGAAGGCCAGCAAGCAGATCAGGTGCCTTGTCGGTTGTCCCATCCTCGCCCGGCGCCGGGATTGCACAGGGCGCTTCCCTGATCCACTTGCAGACTCCACAGGGAGGCGTGCAGAGCAGTGATGCACCCAGAGATGGGTGGGAGAGACATGCCCGCCCTGCCCTGCACCCACCCCCGATTGCACCCGCCAGGCACCCAGGCAGCCCCGGCAGGAGGGGACGCAAAGGGGCTTCCCTGAGCTGGACGCAGTGCGCTCCAATGGGCAGCTGAAAGGAGAGGAGAGGGCTGCCCCAGAGCAGGGAAGGGAGCATGCCCTGACTCTCCTTCCTGGACACTCAGCCTGTAGTGCCCTCCAAAATCTGGTGCCATGGCGCCGTGCACCACTAACGTCTATGGGTAAGACGCCCCTGCCTGTGTTTAAAGAGGAACCAGACAGAACAATTATTCTGAACTAGATTTCTAAATAGAAGCGCAGTTGGCTGTGACTGGTCAGCAACCTCATCTGTTGGAGACTGCTTGTTGTGCTACCTCAACAATAAAAGCAAGGTAAGAGTGACAAGTGAGAGGAAGAAAAGCCTCCATTCAGGAAACAGGAAGATACAGTATTTAGAGCACACACGCATGCAGACCATTCACTTACTCTATATCAGCCCCATAATTGATCCATTAACTTTTGTGAGACTGCCCGAGAATGATTCAAATGTTACTGTTGTGTCACGGTTGCTGCTTCTATGTGATCAGATGCCAGGGTTTTTTTGGGGGGGAGGGGGTTGGTTGTTGTTGTTTTGTTTGTTTTCGTAGGAAGGTGTCTCTGGAATCTGAGATTCCCAGCTAGCATATATTACATTTTGAGAAGCAATTTCAAAACCTACAGTGTTGGCAGAGAACATTGTTTATGTTCCCAGCTTATTGGGGTGGGTGTGGGGTACCAGTTTTATTTATGTCACCAGGAGCTAAGTTTAAATGATAGCAGCACAGCCAGATCCTGTCAGGGATTTGGTTGGGATTTTTTGTGTTAATATGCATCACTTTAAACTTGAATGCCGTTGATGTGTGTATCTCATTGGCCAATTTGTTGCCCATTCACCCTCTTGGACAGATTGTGACCAAGTTGGTGCCATTTACCTCACTGCTCAGCCTTGACTCCGTGTTATTTATGAATAAGCTAAATAACACCAGCCCCAAAACATATTCTTAGAGGAATGTGTCTCTTAGTTTTAACAATGAAGGAAATTATCTATCTCCTCACAACCCCTGCTTCCTGGTGTATGCCCATTAGAGGACTTACCTGTACTTTTATCTGTTTATTTTTCCCACGGTTACTAAGTCTCCTTAGGAACCTTAGCTGAAAGAGTTTGTAAAAGTTTTTTGAAAGTCCAGGTATATAATACCTGTCAGATTACCTCTACCTGCATGTTTGTTGGTGTTGATACACTAAAAAAATAAAAATCTCGAAGGGGTGTTGAGGCAGTGTTCCGTTAATTTTATTATGCTGACTTTAAATGTTTAGCCCACCTTCCACACAACTTTGCAGAGTAGCTTGTTGTTCCTTAATTGTTACACAGGGGATATAGCTGTGCTGTAAAGTGGTACATAAATATGACACTAGATGGCGACAGTGAGCTATGCAAAATTCAATGTATTTTTCAAAACTTTTTTCATATGTGTGTAGATTCCACCCTGGAGAGGAGATGACATCCTCATTTCATTTCAGGAAGGGATGCATTTCTACCACATGAGGTTGCCAAATGATAAAATAAAGAGACTGTCCTGCTTTTTAACAGCAGCTTGATCTACAGAAATCAGCAGATGAAGCTCTTCGCAACAGGAAGAAAAACATGGTTTCAAATCAAGCTGCTGTGAAAGGCACTGGATCAGGGACCTTTTTTAAAAAATAAAAATAAAATAAAATGGCAGTTCTACTCATTTCAAATACATGGCTTGTATCCTTCATTAACCCTACATTTTAAAGAATAAAAAAACCAAGAAAATGGAGGGTGTGCATGTTTGTATAAGAAAGCATCATTGAAGCTCAAAGGCAAACCCAAGAAGAGAATTCATTTGCTGAATCAAAGTGTTTACTGCCTGTATTGGTCCGTTGTCTTCCATTGCACTGTGACTAAAGACTACCTACCTATTGCCATTTTTGTAAATTAGCAGTCCTGTGTTGTAAAAGTGGTCATGATGCTATTACACAGTTGTTGACAATGTATCAGAAATAAAAGATACTCTCTGTTGCTGTATGCTTTTAAATTATGATAATATTTGTAGCTGCTGCTGCTGCAAATCTCTGTTGCATTTAGGGTTGGCCAGCTTCTAGGCAGAGGAAGGAAGCTGCCTCGTGAACTTGAAACAGTTTAGCTTATATGTCCAAAGATGAACAAAGTGCTTTCCTACATGTCATATTGGGCAATGTTAAGGGCCCTTAGGGAGTTTAGAGTATGTCACAATCACATTACTTTTAGGCCCCCTACATTCATCAGTTCTCCATACCAATTATCACACACAGCTGCAATGTACATGCATAAGCTTGCTTTCTGCTGCTCTGAAGGGTAGGATCCGAACCAATGGCTTTAGGTTACAAGAAAGGAGATTCTAACTAAACAGCAGCAGGAAGAACTTCCTGGCACCAAGAACTGTTCAACAGTGGAAAGGACTTTTAAAAAAAAAGTGGAAAGGACTCCCTCAGAAGGTGTTGGGCTCTCCTTCCTTGGAGGTTTTAGGCAAAGGTTGGATGGCCATCTGTCATGGATGCTTTAGTTGAGATTCCTGAATTGCAGGGCGTTGGACTAGATGACCCTCAGGGTCCCTGTCCAGTTCTGTGATTCAAACCTCTGTAAGCAACACTCCTAGCTGTCCAGCAATAAAACTGCTAGCACTTTTACAACACTCATCATTTGTCCCTTGGATTTGGGGGTTTTTCATAAGCATCTGGTGGGCCACTGTGATAGCCAGATGCTGGAGTCGATGGCTCTTCGGCCTGATCCAGCAGGCTTCTTTTTACATAGCAAGAAATGAACAATGAGTTATGACGTTTTTGTATTGCAAAAAGGGGAAAGGAAAGGATGACGGGTTTTGTTCAGGCGTGGGGCTGGGAAAGAACAGCCACTCTGCAGTCCAGTCCAGGCTTAATATCCCCCCATATTGCCGGAGATTTTTTTGGGGGGGGGTGTTACTGAGGTTTAAGATTGCCTTTTGGATAGCGCTGCCATATAGAATTTGGCGTAACCCAATAAAGATAATTTCTTTAGGGGAGGAATATACAATTGGGAGACTAGACCAGTGTTTCCCACACTCTCAATCTGTTTTTGGACTACAGTTCCCATCATCCCTCGGGAAGATGGGAGTTGTAGTCCAAAAACAGCTGGAGACCCAAGTTTGGGGAAACCTTAGACTTTCTCCAATCTCGGTGATTATTATTATGTATTATTTCCACAGAACTAGCCCTGTTAATTCCCCTGCAGCAGCAGCAGCAGCAGCAGCAACAAACCAGCTCAGCAAAGTGTTTGGCGGCACCTAAGGCTTTGCCTACCCAGAAGCAACTCAACGGGGTTACTCCCAGTGAAGCAGCGTTTAAGGTGTCAAAGGTGCCCCAAATCAAATTTGCTGAAGAAAAAGGGGAGGGGCGGGGAGAACTGCGAGGGAGCGGGACGTTGTTTCTTCACTACGGGGCATGCGCAGTGCGGGGCCGAGCCCGGCGCGGCGTGGGGAGGATGATGAAACTCGGAGGAGCGCGGGGAGGGGAGAGGCCGCGCGCCTGCGCAGTGCGGGGGAAGCGGCAGGGAGGGCGTGCCGTCGGCTAATAAGAGGCCGCCTCGAGGGAGGAGGAGCAGCGAGGAGCTCTCCTTTTGCTGTCGGTCGGGCGAGCCGGTAGGGCGCAGCATGGCCAGCTACAGCGTGGAGGAGCGCGGCTGCCCCAACAGCCTCGGCTATAGGCTGTTCTTCAGTGAGTTCTCCCCCGGGGGAGCCGGGCGGGCTTAGCCGAGGGGCTGCGGGAGAAGCTCGGGGCGCGGGGCGCCCGCGAGCGCGCAGGGCGGGAGATGAATGAAAGAGCGAGGCGAGCGCGCGCGCGCGTGCGTGCGTGTCCCTCGGGAGGGCATTTGTGGGGCAGACAGGCAGCCTAGGAAAAAGCCACAGCCGGGCTCCGTTGGCTCCTCGACGCCTTCTCCTCCGCTTCTGGAATCGTGTCATGTAATTGCTTTGATAGACGGCGAGGCTCGATCCTGAATCCTTTCCATGGCGCTCTGCTTTTTGAAAAAGTTGCCATTGCAATGTCCAACTTGGCGGCGCAGTCAGGGAAAGGGCTTCTCGGCAGCCCCCTGGGGCGAGTTTGCGTTTTGCGCCCCTGCAAGCGGCTGGTTCTCTGGGACAGAGGCGCTAACGCGGGGCCCTCCCTCGCAGGGTTGTTGTGAGGCTCGTGCAGCGCCGGAGCGTGCGCCAAGGGGTTTGCGGACGCTGCTGCAGTTTCCCCTCGTGGGTAGCCTGGTGCCAGCCCGCTGTGTCAGCGTGAAACGGGCCTGTCCAGAGAGCTTTTATATAGCTCTGCAGGGATTTTTCACAAGAGAGAAGGGGAAGGGATCCCAAATGCACCAGCACTGCCGTCATGCTGTCATGGGAGTTTCCCTGCTTCTCCAAGGCCTAATATTTGGGGTGGGGTGGTGGATTAGGCTTGGCGCATGGGTGTGTGTTCCTGCAATCCCAGTCACCCTTAAATCTAGGGCTGGGATGGGGAATTGGGGTTGGGTGCATCACCTGAATTCAGTGCCCCTCCAAACTCTTGTATACAAACACACCTGTCTTCCCATGTGGACTTTCAGGGATGGCTGCTCCAGCCATGAAATCACAACCTGTAATGCTATTATTATAGAATGGCAGTGGAGATTTCCCCACTTCTGTGATTCTTTGCTAAGCCCCAGTTACCAACCCTCACTTTTGACTCCAGAAGGATGCGGTACAGAAAATAGAACAACAAATACATGGAACGTAGCATACAATACATTTAGCTGTGTGAGAAGAGTACTTTTGAAAGCATTTAGCTATTCTGAAGGAGGAGAGAAGATGGGGGAAGGGAAGCAATTGGAAGGAAATGAAAGTGCGAGATACAGCTGCCCTTGGACGCTGTGACAGAGAACTTGATATATGGAGAAAGAGAAAGTCCTTGCCCAAGGTACTAGAATGGGACTGATGCTGTCATAAAAGTTGTGTGTGTGGTGAGGTTTAGGATGACTGATCATGGCGTTAACTGTCCATGTAATGCCCTATTAAGTGGCTATGGCCTAGTTTGCATGTCACATTAACCATAGTTTGTTTTTAAACTATGGTGTAATGTTAACTGAGCAGCATGCGACTCAGACATTCCTAAGGCAGTCCTTTCTTGCTGCTGTGCCACAAATGAAGCAAGCCGGAGTCTGACTTGCTATGTCATCTGACCCAGGTGGTTTGGAGATTACAAAGGTAGCTCACCTGGCTCCGTCTACCCTCACCTTTCAGAATAGTTAAGTGTACTTAAGTACTCTTTGTATATGCTCAGAGTTGCTTGCTGGCTTTCCACTGGCTGTTTTGAAATTTCTTGCCTTCCTTGGTGCCCCAAAAACTGGCAGGTGAGCTCCTGGTGCGCTGTTCTCCTCTAACCCTCCCCCATTGAGCAAACAGCTGTTGGGTTTAAAGTCTGAACCAGACTGTCAGATATGGGCAGTGAAGGTGGCTGTAAAATGAAAAGCCTCCCGCAGTATAATCCTTTAAGGCGATTTTCATTTCTTCCTGGTAGTGCTCCACCTCAAAACAGCTTCAGTTTTTGCTGCACAAAGAAATGACGATTATCCAAAGTTTTCTTAACTGATGTTCCTGGTAAGCTGAAAAAGCTGAATCATAAAACAGGTCCACTGGAGTGAGAGACTGCCATGCTTTTTACTTGAGGCTCCTAAGTCCACACCCAGGCAATATCTTTATTAGGACTAATTAGAATACCAAAGCAGGGCACCAGCCATTTAAAAAGAGGCATTGATGGGAGCAATTTGTGCAGACACTGAGACAAGGTGTGCTCGATCCCTGGCCTTGACTGGAGATTCCTTTTTAAGGTAATGCTCCAAGATGCATACTCTTCTAGATTGAGAAATGCAACTTGCAGTTTGTTTCTGGCGACTGCTGGGGAAAACTTTTTCCTAAAGTGACTTAAGTACATGAAGGTATCTACCCTGCTGTCATCCATTCTAGTGGAAGCCCGGCTTGGCTTGCTGGCAGTTAACCTTGCCTGTTAATCCAGGAAAGCCATGAGTCCAAAATTAAATGAGCCTCTGAGTCCAGACATACCTCAGCTAATAAGTTTGGACAAATGGATAGGTCCAGGTAGTGGTGATTTTTCTCATCACAGGCTACCAGGGAACTGGCCACCTTCGAGTCTTAGCAAAGTAGACTCCAGTGACTTAGTCAGAGTTTTTTTTTTAAAGTCCTGTTGCCCAGTGCCATTTGAACTAGAGGTCTTCTTGCACAACATGTTCTCTGCTGCTGAGCTGTGACCCTGAACCCACATGCAACTTACTAGGTCCTCTTTTCAGGAGTGTGCAATGCCATAAGGGAGCAAATTTTCCATGGCAATACTTGTGTGTGGGTAAATATAGCAAACGTGTGCATGGGGGCAATTATTTGGGTCTTTCCCACCCCCGCCACCTCCCCCAATGAGAGGGAAAGATTCTGCTTGGGTGGAAAGGTGCAGGAAAAGGGTGCAGCGCATATTGCTGCAGTTCTCTCTCCCCTACCCAGTCCATGACACACACACATGCACTGTGTTGCTGTGTGTGATAATTTCCTTGGAGAAACGCCATGTAGGTGTGTAGGGGGGTCTAAAAGTGATGGGATTGTGACATCTACTGACATCTATCCAAGTACCCTTATCATTGTGCAATATGATGTGTAGGAAATCATTTTGTTCATCTTTGGAGATATAAGCTAAACCATTTCAGGGCAACTTCATATCAGCCTCAGTTGTCATTTGATAAGGCTGGAGTCCGCTTGCTTGTACAGGTTTTGCTGTTTTCAGAGGCTCCTGTAGTTTGCACTTCAGGGAGAACGCCTTCTGAGATACCTCGTAAAACTGAACGCACTATGCTGGAGCACAGAAGCAGCAGCAGAAAGGGCTAGCCCGAGCCCTGGGCTTGGCTACCTGGCTGTTGCAGGTCACAGTCTACAGGTATCTCTGACTACTGTGGAAGTGCCTTGGAGACTGCATAGGCTATCTGAAGCACTGCTGTTAGCGATGGGAGCTTTAAGCTGCACATGGATGGTGGGGGTAATCTGTGACGAACCGCTATCACATTTAGTGCTCTCTTCTGAGAAACTAGGGCGGGTAGGAACTAGGCAGCACACTTGCTGTTGCAGTGATTTCATTGGAACAAAACCCAATTGATAGGACTGTGCCAACTTGTCTTTGTTTATAGACATTCACATTCTTTAAACTTTCTATCCCTGGTACTTTGTCAGCTTTATTTTACTACTGCATGCATTAAAGATAATCAAAAACTTGGACATTTCCTTTGTTTTTCAGAAAACCATAAGGGACAGTACATTTCTCCGTTCCATGACATTCCGATACATCCAGATGCTCGCAAGGTAAGGCTCGCGGTCATACTGAGCAGAACTTTGTGGGGATTCACCCTGCAGACTGTATAAAGGTGACCCAGTCACTCGATGTAGAGTTGCTTATTCTTAACAGGGGACAAGCTGTGTGTGTTCAAAGCAACTTCAACCTAATTTCTGATCCGTGCTTGACAACTTAAGGTAACTGCCTTGGCTTTATTAACCAATGTTACTTAAGTAAAACTTGGCACGAAGGGCGGAATAATCTTTAACATAGCATGTGCATGTAAATTAATTTTTGTTCTTAAGTTGGGATGGAGGGGTGCAACTTTCCCTTTACTACCATTGTTCACTAGTCATTAGTGCCTGCTTCAGCCCAACGCTCACTTTTCTCTTTTCAGCTGTAGAACAGAGGTTCCTAAACTGGTCCACAGACCACCAGTGTGGTGTAGTGGTTAAGAGCGGTAGACTCGTAATCTGGGGAACCGGGTTCGCATCTCCACTCCTCCACATGCAGCTGCTGGGTGACCTTGAGCTATTCACACTTCTTTGAAGTCTCTCAGCCCCACTCGCCTCACAGAGTGTTTGTTGTGGGGGAGGAAGGGAAAGGAGAATGTGAGCCGCTTTGAGACTCCTTTGGATAGTGATAAAGCGGGATATCAAATCCAAACTCTTCTTCTTCTTCTTCTTCTTCTTCTTCTTCTTCTTCACCAGTGGTCCACATGCTTCATTTAGGTGCTGTATGGTGTGTCTGTGAAAACGCAGTTTAAAACAGCACAGTGCCTTACAATTGGTACAACAGGCAGAAAAATTGCGAAGCGGTCTACTAAAAATCCTCAAAAGTTTTCAAGTGGTAAAAGCCACTCCACAAAAAAGCTTCCAACTGGCTGACTTTCCCAGCAGGAGGAAATACATAACTGTCTCATATTATTGGCATTTTCATGTTCTTAAAGGGAAGCTGGGGAAGCTGGTTCATTGCATTTTGTGTCCAACTTATACAGTGTGATGTTGCCAAAATGAAAAACCCTTGGTGCTGACTTCTTAGCTGTGTTAGGTTCCCCCGGAAGTTTTCTTTCTCATCCTTCTTTCCAGATTTTAGAAATTCAGTTTTTTTATATCAATGATAGTACTCTTCCCCATAAATTGTTTGGTATTGAAGGGTTGTTATTATTCTTAGCAACCTATCTTAAACTTATATTTGTACACAATGGCCAGCTTCAAAATGTAACAATCTCAATCTGATAAATCAAGTTTTCGGGGCCTGAAAATGTACTTTTTGCCTACTCACCACATCCCTATTCCTTCTCTCCTCCCATCTTCTGCTTTGGCAGTTATATCATGATTTGTTTTTGCCTCAGTTTTCTGTTGTATCTGAATTGGGAAACAATGGTTTGCAAGCAGGGATTGAACAAGCACGTCAAAGTAGGGCTGAGCCCTTCAGGCACAAGGAGTTTTATCAACCGAATAAACCATCATTTATTGGCTTTTTTGTTTTTTATAAATTTTTGTATTGCTGATACAAGGGGAAAAACCAGACAGAATAATATTGCAACAGTGGACAAAGACAAAAAGATCATGCTCTGTAAATGTAATGCACCACTACATATATTATGGGCATTAAAGCAGATCAGGGTTGAATCAGGTCTTAACTATAGTTTTTTGGATCAAGAGCATTAAGTCTGAAATGGAACAATGTTTGTTTCACATTTTCTATAGCTTTTGTTGTTCCAGCACTTTTTTGTTTCCAAGTAGGCCTAGAGGCATAACTTGATGCAGTGAAATCTTCACATGTTGGCTTCTGAAAATACTGTAAAGTTAAATAGTGTTGTCTTATTTGGGCAGCCCAAACTGTCAGGTCATGACACATTTTTAAAAAATCATTACGATTCAAATTTTGGGCTATAAATATCAAAACTCCAGGTTGGCTAACAAAACAAGAGCAGCACATAATTGTACCAAATTTTTAAAGCTCACTATTAAAGAAACCCAAATTAGTTAGCAACAATCAGAGCAGCATTAACAAGAAAAACACTGTAAACTATTTTGCATGAATGACCCTGTGGTTTTTCTGTGTGTGTGTGTGTGTGTGTGTGTGCGCGCGCGCGCAACCAGCTTAGTTTATAAAACAGTAGAATGGAAATCTAATCTCGTTGACATTGCCTTAGAGTAAAAGCCAAGGTCTGAGGGGGCAAAAGGAATAGCAGGGTTGAAAACTAGAATTGAAAGGAGAACTTAAGTTTAAGTAGAATCTTGGCTAATTTTAGGCATGTACAAATCGGATAACTAATGGCCACTGTAAATGGTGCTCTTGGGCACAATTTACCTCATGTGGCAAGCGATAACTCTTGCAACAGAAGGAATGGGATTTGGCTGTCACTTGAGGCATGGTATGCCTTGTCCACTATATTCCATCTTCAGTTATAAAGTCCTCAAATACAGCTGAAAACAACCCCGCAAATTCAGCCACTGCCATCAGTGGAGCAAGGAGTAGAGGCAGAGGCTTCATGTGGTTGTTTTTTAAGAATCCACCTGTGGTAGCAGAACGGATTTGTGCGCAATGAGACCCTGCCTCTTTGAAGGTGCTATACCCCTTGCTTATCTGTTCGAGACACAGGTATAAAAGTTAGTAAGAATAAGCAGACATTTTATTGTCCCAGAAGCTAAACAATACAATGCAGTACAGTACTGATTCTCAGACTTCGCTTCTCTTTGTTTTTATTGCAGGGATGGCTCTCCTCGTTATTCTCCTGGGTCCTCCACAGCTTCAGTAGCAGCCCAGATAGGGAGTCCAGTTTAGGGCAAAAGGTTACATTACCCAGTCTTGTCTACAGCTCTTGCTCCTAATCCTCGTATTCTTAAGATCTTGAGAGGATTGGAGAGGTTCTAAATTTATCAGCACCTGGGCTGCTGCCCTCGTCGTATTTTAAATGTATATGGCCTCGTTGTACCTTTCCATGCTTGCCAGGGCATGGCAAACTGGAATGCTGCTTATGTTTATGTATGAAAAGGGTGAGGGGCTCTCTTTGCCTCAGGAAATAGCTACAGAACTGTCTGGGCTTCTGCCATAAATATTTCCATTATTACTTTAATATACTTGCAGGCTGGTTTGTAATTTATATGGGCTGCATTCAGAGCAGTACCAGTGGCGTTTTGCTGATGCGGTTGTGCTTCTGTTTCCTTTCCTTCCCCCCGTGCACTCCACAAAACCTTCCCCAAAGGATCCTTCAAGCCTCTGGAGCTGATTTTGAGAGCTGCAGGGGACAGAAGGGGAAAGTTGTATTACGCTAGTACAAATATCTTGTGTTAGGGGAACAGGAGCCTTGGATACTGCCTCAAGGCTCCATGATGGTTCCAATCCACTTGACTCATGTCTGCATAATTTTTAGCACATTTAATTCTGTTTTCTTAAGAAGCTATTTTTCCTTCTGAAGGAAGAAGGGATGTCCCCTCCCACCTCGTTCTCAAAGTAGGCTGTTGATAAAATTGAATCCAATTCACTCTTCGAACGGTGTTAGGAAACTGAAGTCTGATTAGATAATTTTCTGAGATACGAGCTAGGTATTTGTGGGGGTGATGTGTTTACCTAATAAAGGCTTTTAGTCCAGAATTCCACATACTTAAGAGTAACCCCCATTGTGCTTCTGAGTAGACCTGTATAGGATTTGCAGTGCGAGGTTCCTTTGCAGGTCTCAAAATGCCTGTCGGAATTCTAGCTTTAAAAAAAGGCACATTTGAAATAATTGTTGTGAGAAGTGTCTCTGATACTTCATGCCAGCCAGGTTGCTCATTCCTGTATTCAGTGGATAATCCTAAATGATGTTATTCTTTCTTCTGCCAGGGTGGAATTTGCTCTTCTGCGGCTGCTATGTAAATGCAGTTTATTTTTAAAAAATTAAAAGAAAATCTGGATGTGTAAAATCTTAACCTGCAGTTGAAAGCAAAATGTATTAGCATGATAGTGATCTTCAATCATTGAACTTTTGATTGTGTTCATGCATCTGTGCAATAGTCTCTTGCGTAATGGTCTCCATTAAATATCAAGTTATGCAACGAAATACCAGGTGGTTGGTCTTTTTTGCTTCCATTAAGGATTGAAAGACTCAAAAGACAAAACTGTCTCCCCCACTGATGAATGCATGAAAGCTTTATAGTTTTCACCCCATTCCTTTATTGCAGCCCTTGAGGGGGGGGGAATTACTTGAATCCCGATGGCTTTGCTATTTTTACTTAAGATCTATTATCTAGACAGTTATATTTTTAATAAACAAAAGTTCAATTCTAGATTTACATGGATATGGTATATACCTCTCTGGTTTCTTATTCTTTTCAGGATGTGTTCAACATGGTTGTGGAAATACCTCGATGGACCAATGCTAAGATGGAGGTAATGGCATTCTATATTTGGAAAGCTGTAGTTCCTGGCTTGGTGGCTGCCTCTTCATTAAAATCAGCTTATCCGTGAAAGATAAAGCCATTCTGCGTCAGCCTCTTTGAAATTTGAAATTTCCTGATTAGTTAGTAGTAAAGAAATGGGCAGCTATTCTAAATCTGCAGGACTGTGCACACAATTCGTGAGCAAGCCCTATTGGACTTCTGAGTTTTCATGGTTGCTGTCAATTTGGATATTTAATTTACCGTATTTTTTGCTCTATAGGACGCACCAGACGATAAGACGCACCTAGTTTTGTGGGGAGGAAAACAAGAAAAAAAAGATTTTGGATCCCAGAAGCCAGAACAGCAAGAGGGATCTGGCTTCTGGGATACTGTGTGGCTGTTCTGGCTTCTGGGATAACGTGCCAAGCCTCTTCAGGGCAGCGGGATGAAGGCTCCCCCTGCCCGGAAGAGGCTAAGGCGGAAGCCAGGACAGGCGCATTGCTGAAGGGGCACTGCGCTGTTCTCCCTCTCTGCACATCACCTCTCCTGCGAAGGAGGCGCCCCTTCAAGTGAAGCTGGAGAAGGAACAAAAGTCCCTTCTGGCTTCCAGGACAGGCGCCTCGCTGAAGGGGCGCTGCGCAGATAAGGAGAGCTGCGCAGCACCCCTTCAGCGAAGCGGGAGGAGGAACAGAAGGGGCTCCGTTCCTCCTCCCGCTTTGCTGAAGGGGCACTGCGCAGCTCTACCTCTCTGCGCGGTGCCATTCACTCCATAAGACGCACTCACATTTCCCCTTTATAGGAGGAAAAAAGTGCGTCTGGCGGAAATGACTGGTAGAATCCATGACCAGGGAGAAGAGTTGGTGGAGGAAGATTGGAAGAAATTCAAAGATTATCTTCAGAAACATTGCAAAATTAAAGAATGTTAGAGTGATGTTGGACTGAAAATACCGTATTTTTCGCTCCATAGGACGCACTTTTTCCCCTCCAAAAATGAAGGGGAAATGTGTGTGCGTCCTATGGGGCGAATGCAGGCTTTCGCTGAAGCCTGGAGAGCGAGAGGCATCGGTGCGCCCCGACCCCTCTCGCGCTCCAAGCTTCAGGAAGCTATCCGCAAGCCTTGCAAGCCCGGTGGGAGTTCCCGCGGGCTCACAAGGTTTGCAGGCAGCAGCCTGCAGCCCCGGCGAGTGTCCGCAAGCCTTGCGCGCCCGGCAGGAGGTCCCCGTGCTTCGGGCGAGTGTCTGCAAGCCTTGTGCGCCCGGCAGGAGGTCCCGCCGAGCGCGTGAGGCTTGGGGCGGTAGCCTGCAGCCCGAAGCACGCGGAGCCCTCCGGAGGGTGCCCCGTGCTTCTTGCAGGTGTGCACAAGGCTTGGGGCGGCAGCTGCGGCGGGGGGGGGAATAATTTTTTTTATTCATTTCCCCCCCAAAAAAACGAGGTGCGTCCTATGGGCCGGTGCGCCCTATAGAACGAAAAATACGGTAAGTGGTTTCCAGCTGTACAGGTTAAAGTTATTGATAGACTAAGATTAAAGATTAGGATTAAAGATGTTTAAGGAAATGGAAATTTGGTACTTAAGAGGTAAAATTTTAATATTATATTACATTAAGATTAAAGATTAGGATCAAAGAAGTTTAAGAGTTATATATTATATTAAAATTAAAGATTGGGATTAAAAAAGTGGAAAAGAAATTGCTAGACAAACAATTTGGATTGGAATACAAAAGAGGGAGGTATGAGGAAGTCCAGAAAATAAGTAAACTCAAAAACGGAAATGGAAAAGTGATATTGCTTTTAATTATTATGTTTCTTTTTTTATTGTTGTTTCTTGCTTTTCGTGTGTTTTTTTTTTATTTCTTTCTGGGATTTGTATTGTGTATTTGTGTATTTTTTTATGTTTTTTCTGTTCAATTTTTGATTGAAACCTTAATAAAAAATTATTTTTTTAAAAAAAAAAAGTGCGTCTGATGGAGCGAAAAATACGGTACTTTGAAAATGTGAATTGAAGCACCTTTAGGGAAAATACCGTCCTAAAATTGGATTGCTTGCACATTCTTCTGTTAATACTAAACTTAAACTAATTCTGTTTCAGATTGCAACCAAAGATCCTCTAAACCCAATTAAGCAGGATGTGAAGAAAGGAAAACTACGTTATGTCGCTAATGTCTTTCCCCACAAGGGATACATCTGGAATTACGGTGCTATTCCACAGGTATTTGTCTAGCTTTCTTTATTTTCAGAGGTCTTTTAATTGCTGAGCATAAATGTTCATTAGGCTGCCCCTGGAAGTGCTATGTTTCTGTGCAAACATTTTAGCAAAGCAACATTATAGCAAGAGCAAAACACTAATGAGGAGGAACGTGTAACTATTGCATGGACAACAGGGTGGCAAAATCTCAGGAGAAAAGTGAGAGTACAGTCTATGTTGTAAACAAGGAAGCTGATTGTGCTGCAACTGAATCAGTTGGCTTTGCAGATCACAATTCGCATATCAGGGTCATCTTGAAAAGTACACAAGCAACCCCTCAATTTACGTAGGTGTTGCATTTCAACACACACCGCACATTTAAATGAAATTGTGTGTATTTGAAACACAATCGAAAAAGCTTGCAGAGACCCCATTTTGGGGCCACTTCCAGGTTTGGCACAATGTGAGCATGTGTGATCGTGCACATATCAGACATACCTGAAACGGTCGCTGCCTGTATTAAACCCTGAAAAAGCCAGCACAAGTCACAGGGGATAATGAATGCATATGACTAAGACTTTAGAAACATGGCATTCCAGTGCACTAACCAGACTTTTTAAGAAGAAGAAAGTGAGAGCTTGCTGTGGAAGCTGTGCTGTTATAGTTTTATCTCTGTAATACTAACTCTCTTTTCCCTACTTCAGCTAATTCAATTCCAATGCTTGTTTTCTAGCTGGCATCAGTCCCTCCCTTTGGTCAGTTTGTTGTACCTCACTGATCAATCCTCTATTTCATGTGGTACAGAGGCTACGACATACTGTCAGACACTTCCTCCTGCCCCAGTTGGCATTGTGGTTACAGTTCTTCCACCTTTTCTGAATTAGACTTCAGACCTGTCCTACTCTGAGTTCCCTCTGACCACAGAACTACTCAGACTTCCTCTGCCCAATCATGTATTCTTGTCTTCAATCATTTCAAAGATTTTTATATTTATTTTTTAATCTTAAACATGTATTGAGGTAACTTCTACTTTCCAAATTGGCAGCATTTGTTCCAGCTAAACTTTAGATGGCCAGCATAAGGGATGCCAAGGCATCATTATGTAAACTGTTCCGGAGCCCTGACCTTGCCTGCCGGGGTTTTAATAACTCTGCTTCTGACCTGGAAGGAAGTTAGGTCAATTTCTATTAAAGCAGTCTGAATGGCAACTTCCCTCTGGCATGTGTTATCAACACGTCCATATTTCTGTGTAAGGTAGCTAAATGCACGCACGTGGAAGTCTCTTCGACTTGAATTTATGCGAGCGTGTTCTGGTTAATGCAACAAATCTAACGGCAAATTGAGCTTTCATAACTGATCTAAAAATTTCCCTGCTCCTTTCATATGCAGGAAGATGCAGTGCTTTGTGGATTTGGTTAAGTGTCAAACAAAAGGCCTAGATTCAGCTAGGAAAAGCAGACTCCTTCCTCTGATTCCTGAATTTTCTTGTAAGAAATATATCACAACAGCCAGCCATACCCTTGTGGCTGTCAGTGGACAAAGTTGGCTGCCTAAAGAGCATTTCAAGAGAAAATACTTTTTAAAAGACGTAAAACTGCAAATGCCGTATAAGCAGCCCATTAGCAAAGTAACTGTGTATGTGTGCTACATATAACCTCTTCTTCTTTTTAAAGACATGGGAAGACCCAGAGCATAAAGATGAAAATACCAGCTGCTGTGGAGATAATGATCCAATTGACGTTTGCGAAATTGGAAGCAAGGTAACGTGTTTATTGAAGTGGTGGTGGTCTGCGTTTAGAGCTGTAAACTGTTGTTTCAATCTCTCTTTTTGTCCACATTGGTGAAACTTTACACCTGAATGTCTTGCTGAACCAGACTTTTCAGCTAGTTGCCCTGTGCAAACTTGGGCATTATAATTTTGCATCAAGGCATGGTAAGGTTGCAATGAGTTTAAATCAGCGGTAGGTAACTTGTTCTGCATATACAACCATACTGGAAATGTATTAAGGGCTTGTTAAAGTGGGTCTGTTTGCTTCAACTGATTTAATATAGTGTTCATAATGGATTCTAGAATGTATCTGTTTTGGTAGCAGAAACAGAGTCCTATGGTACCTTAAAACGGAATTATTGTGACATCAGCTTAAACGGACTACAACTTACTTCGTCAGATGCAGGAAATGCTCTTCTCAGCTGGAACATATGCCTGCATTGCTACGCAGAGAGAAGTTTGTAAAGAGTGAGGCTAAAATAAATGCCAAGGCTTACATTTCTACACGGACTCTAAATACTATTTAATAGATGCCAAGATAAGTTAGACTCATGCTGTGGTATTGTCTTAAAACCGTTACCCCTGAGTCCGCCCTCAAAATTTTTTGATACAATGATAATTAATATGACATGTGAAACATCAGACTTTTTTATCTCCCATATTCTCAGTCTCTCTACAAACATCTGTAGTTATACCTTTAATCTGAAAATAAAAATATGAAAGATGAGCTCCTTGGGAAAACTTTACACCAACTCACAAATATCTTGGTTGGTGAGTGTTTGTCTCTGGTTTAGGCAGAATAAGTGGTTCAGGCCTATTGCTGAGCAATCGGTGAGAGATACTACAGTACTTAACGATTACGGCTTATTTGAATTGTTTGTTCAGTCTTTCCATCTTATTAATGAGGAACATCTACTCAATCAGGTGTGCAGCAGAGGAGAAATAATTAAAGTGAAAGTGCTGGGTGTTCTGGCATTGATTGATGAGGCTGAAACAGACTGGAAGGTCATTGCAATCAACACTGAAGACCCCGATGCTGCTAAATTGAACAGTAAGTAGCACTGAAGTGATCAGAACTTTCCTTCCTCTCCCTTCAAATACCCAGCAAGGAAAGGTGAGATCTGTGTAGAGCACAGGTAATATGATGCTGTTTATGTCTCTAGAACAATGTATTCCTAGATCCATGGAATATGTAGCAGGTTGTTAACAAACCTTTAGCAGGATGCTAACATCACTACTGCACAAATCTCATGGATGGATGGTAATAATGGTAATCCTACTTGCCTTGAAGGGACTGAAGTCTTGAGTAAATCAAAGTTTTGTAGGTTCCACTTCATTTAGAAGAGGTGAAACTTATACTACTGGTTATAGCATGAGCAATAAATATTTGGACCAAACGTTGTTGTTTTCTAAGTTGCTTTAAGTTTCCTGGGGCAAAAAAAAGACTAATAAATTTAGTAATAGTAATGAGAGTGTGTTAAGTGCCAGAAACATCAGTTGCTTTGTTTACAGAAGGAAGTGCAAGCAATGTATTGAGACTTTGCTATGTGGAGTTTATCTGTAGCTTGGAGACCCAGTTACAAAGAGCAGGAAGATTTCTCCCATGGTCTAGTTGGAGTCTGTGCCTAGATGGAGCCTAAGGTGTGGTCAGAACTTCATAAGTTGGCATATTTTATGAGTCATGGATAGGAAAACTGCCAGGTCTCGGTGTTTACACAAGAAATAGTACCTTTATAAAACACCAGCCTAGTTTTGAATTATTCTTCACTGCATGCGATTTCCTCTCAACTTTCTACACACCGGTTAAGGCAATGGGTTGGTTGTTTTTTTAGTTTGGTGGGAGTTCTTAGATTCACCTCTTCCCTGTATAGGGGTGGATTTCTAGTGGGGTTGCCAACTTTGCCCTTGCAACAAGAGTCCACTGAGAAAGATAAGAATAATGCTGTGCTAAGTTGTAGATCTTGGCTGTGGTTCAGAAAAAAAAAGTGCCCGTGCAAAGTGATAGGTTCTATCTATCTAGGTTCTTGTATCTGTTTGCAGGCTCTCTGCAAACCTTTAATCCACGTTAGAACAATTGCAACTAGGCAGGAAAATGGATATGGTGGCAGGGTTGAGGGGTAAAGCATGTTCTTGAATCTAAGGCATGTCCTTTTAGTGTCCTGTAACTAATACTCGTAACTGGGTTCTGAAGGCATGGTTCTTATTTTTATTTATAAGATATTAATGATGTCAGGACATTGAAGCCTGGCTATTTAGAAGCGACGGTGGACTGGTTTAGAAGATACAAAGTACCTGACGGGAAGCCGGAAAACCAATTTGCATTCAATGGAGAATTTAAAGACAAGGTATGTTTGCATCCTGATGGATATCCGTCAATGTCCGAAAGAATGCCTAGCGTCTTTCACAGTAAAATGGCGTTCCCTGTCAGCACCAACTCCTTTTCGGTAATTGACAATATCATGGGGAGCCAGAGTTCTTCATGCTTCGTTCTGTGGGGAAAGTAGCCCCTGATGAGTGCTTCATTTCCTTTAGCTGAAAGTTAAAAACCTATTACAGTGGTACTACAGAAGACGAAAGAATCCGCTCTGGAGTCTCTTCGCTCAGCTGGTTTTTCTGCCTTGCGAAGCAAGCCCATTGATGATTAGCGGATTAGCTGCTGTTAGCGGCTTTAGTGGCTTTGGCATGGCTAGTCAAGCTATCGGATAAGCTAGATGGCGTTTAGCTGACTTAGAAAAGAGGGAAAGGAAAAAAAACCCAGGAACTCGCAGACATTTCGTCTTGCGGCAAGCCCATAGCAGATCTGCTTTTCTGAGGCACCTCCAAAGCGAAAACTCTTCGCCTAGCAGTTTTCCGTCTTGGCGAGCAGTGCTTGCCTGAGGCACCACTGTAAACAGACAAATGTACATACAGTGGTACCTCGGGTTACATATGCTTCAGGTTACATATGCTTCAGGTTAGACTCCGCTAACCCAGAAATAGTACCTCGGGTTAAGAACTTTGCTTCAGGATGAGAACAGAAATCGTGCTCCAGCGGCGCGGCAGCAGCAGGAGGCCCCATTAGCTAAAGTGGTGCTTCAGGTTAAGAACAGTTTCAAGTTAAGAACGGAACGAATTAAGTACTTAACCGGAGGTACCACTGTATTCTGTCATATGTTTGTTTACACACACACACACACACACACCCCAACACTTGTAACAGCTCAGCCATTCTCTCATAGAAAGACATAGGCAAAGTGCTTTTAATTCCCTTTCTCATCTGTTAGGTTGTATAATATTTATTGCTTGATAAACCTTGACTGTTCATTTCTTGTTTTTCTCTTTTCATTGGAGACTGTTGTGGCTCAACAAGCACATTTATTTATATTTCTCTGTCCTGCCACTTGGTTAGAGGTGAAGCTGCAGCATTTATCTTCTTCTTTTAACATTTCTGTGTTCAAATCAATACACTGATAAGCAGTAGTGAGCAGTGGAATGGCTGAAGGAGTCAGTCAAAACCTCTGCTGCTGTTCATGCCAAGTTGGAAGAGCCCTTTGTCTGTGTCTTACCGTTGCAAAACTTTGGCTGGCCCTCCAGCCTATGCCATTTCAAAGTACAGCCCTTGTTAAAAACTAGTTGCCACCCAGAAATGTGCCACTTCAACATTATTTTTTAAAAGGAGATGTATTGTTTCCATGTTCCTTGAGAATGCAGCACATAATGAAATGGACAGATTAATACTAGAATGCCATTGACAAACTAGGATGGGACATAATGCAGGCTTGTGCAGTCATTACCTAGATTTTCTCTTGACTAGGGAAGTATTTGTTGCATTAAACACAAGGCATTGTTGCATTGCAGATATTAAGAGGCACTGAACTTGTTCTGTTCTCTATTTCATAGGACTTTTCAATTAAGATTATCGGAGACACCCATGATTACTGGAAGGCTCTAGTAAATAACAAAACAGGTGGAGAAATTTGCTGGTAAGTTGCTACTCTTCTCCTTCCAGTCTTGGGCTTTTAAAGAGATGGAATTAAATGAGAGGGATGATCATACGGCTCACCCGATGCCTAAAAACGTTACTGTTAGCACTTGCACTCGTAATGCAGGCATCATTTTGAAATATGTCAGGGTTAGGAATATATCTCAGTATTTTTATATTGAATAAATATGCAGGGAGCGAAAACGTGGCTACTTCTATAACTGAACTTTCTCTTCTAGCACAAATACAACTTTGCCAGACAGCCCTTGCCATTGTGATCAAACATCTGCAGGGGCTACTGTGGGAGAGGTAAGCAGATCTGTTTAATTTCTATGCCCAGGACATGTAAGGACACCGTTCTAATTTGCATGGCTGTGTGCATTTCATGCAAAGGCGGAAAAGCCGCCAAATGTTGCATTGGCTGCAGAACTCAGCATCTTAGAAATCTTTCTGTTCAACTTATTTAAAAGAAGATGGCTGTCTGGGTGGGCAAAAAAAGTGCCTGGCAAAACCTGTCATGGTCCAAAGGTGGGTCTTTCCATGTCCCAAATATTTCATTTACCTATATCCTCATGAACAAGGGATGCACATTAAGCAGGCTTGCTTTATGCCTTCTACATGGTACAGAACTTGGGTGTTGTGTATATTTTATTTATTTAAAGCACAGTCTACACCCAGTTCTGAATGTTGTGCATCTTCTGCTCCTGGGATGGTGACTTCTATTGCACAGCCATCATTTTGAGAGAAGAGACTGTCTAATCTGATTAGTAGTGCAGCCTGTGTCTATTAGTGATTACCTGGATAATTATAAAAAATGCTAATACCATTTCCAGGTCCCACCCTACCATATGTTTCAGTAATACCACTTCACTGACACCATGGGCAGAAATATCCTCCTAAACCCATGTTTTGTAAATGATGGGAAGCCCTCATAAGAACGTCCATGCAAGTGCTAAGGAGAGGCATAGCTTCCTTCACTAGTCCTAAGACTGTTCAGGCTGTATCAGCTCCTTTTTTTTTCCTGTGCAAAGAGAACACACTGTACTTCCACCCCCCTCCTCTTCTCCCCCCCCCCATAGGCCTACATTTTCTACTCTTCCTCCCTTCCTTCTCTGCGCTCATGCAAGGAATGGAAAGCTGTCACTGTGAACCGCAATGCCTCCCCCTGCTCTTTAGCTGATTATCTAGGGAAATGCAAGGATGCTGCCTAGTATAATGACCAAAAATGCACATTCTAATGAATTTGGTTAAATGTGAGTGGGAAAATAGCTCATTGATTCTGGTTGGGGTTGGTCTGCAGCAACTGCAGAATGCCAGCTCCACATCAGAATGCCAGCACTTGAAAGGGTTATCTTTTTAGTCTCAAGTTCCAGCTCCTCAGATATATAGTTTTACTGGGAGCATCAGAAGAGTTACTGTTTTTCATCCAGTTAGTACCAGGAGGGGCAATAACTGTATGGCATTTAATTTATTACAATTATTGCATTTATTTGCAAAATCTTATGTACTGATGTGAAAGAGAAACTGAGTTTTTAAATTTAGCAGGAATCCTGGGTTTAATGCTCTCCTTTTTCCCCCTAGGCACCTGCCAGTGGACCTGCCGATCCAATACCACCAGAAGGTAACCTTGATTCAGAGTGAATTTGAGAAGTGTTTGTGTGTGTGTGTGTGTGTGTGTGTGTGTGTGTGTGTGTGTGTGTGTTCTTGGAGAGTGGGAACCATCAGTTAAGAGCTCTCATTCTGCATCCTCACCTGTATGGCACTGACCTTTACATTTAAACTACTACCCTATTAGAGCTAAATATCTTGTTTGCAAGACTTGGACCAGGGAAAGCCAACAATTCAGTATTAGAGCTCCTGCATTCTTCAACATTTGTGTAACACTTCTGACAAGTGATTATGCAGTGCCTTAGGTGTCTGTAAAACTGCACTCGTCTGAAAGATCTGTTAATGCTTTCAGGAGGTCTAACATCAATACTTGACAACCCTCACTTTATGACCCAGTTTCCCAGGAATTGCATCCAGTGCAACTTTTCTCTTCACGTTCTGAGTTACCAGTAAATGTTGAAGGGCTGTCTTTCTAGTATGCAAATAGTCCAATGTAAGCTCAAGACATAGTTCCAGGCACAAAGCTTGCAGCTGCCCTTGTAGCCAAATGCCTTGTACCTGTCTCCTTGCCTGTACAAAGGACACAAGCATTTGTTTGCCTGCTCTCTAGCTGCTTATAAAACATCCAGTTTTAAAAACAAAAGCCAGGATAAATTATATGGAAATTAGCAATGTATAACCGGCGTGCACGAAGTTCGCTTCACATTTTAAAATGGTGATTTGCAATGCCTTATAAACAATTTTTGCCAGGTTACATTATGATAAAGTTTTTGTCTCCTTTTTCCATTTCTTTGCCTTTAAAACCCAGTGGACAGGTGGTACTTCTATGAGAAGTGACCGAGGCAGATGCTGCCGTAGTTGCTACCGCAACACCAGGAAACACTTGTGCGCAACTAGATGAGAACCGGGAACTTCCATTTCAAGAGCAGTCCTGTTTTGAAACATGTAAAATAGTTTATGATGATGTAACAGATTTTTGCATACCTACCAGTAACGTGTGCTTGGAATATATGCTCGAAATATATCAAGATCCTAGCATCGGAGCAGTTCTTGTGTAAAACACCAGCCTGACAGTCTTCAAAATCTACTTGCACATCATGGCAAATCACTGTTGCATAACCCAGTTGTGTGTAGATACCCGCTTTCGTTGCTTATGAAGAATTATTGCTGAAGCGCATTCTGAAGTCTTGTCTCCTTCATGTTCTTTTGAAATCTCATGCGATCATGAAGAGAGAAGTGTGCGTAATGGAAGATGGAGGAAAAAGTAAAAAGAAGCGTTGGATTCTGAAACCACCATCCCCCCACTCCTTCTGTTTTAAAAACAGCAACATTATTGTGGAAGTCAGAGATGCCTCTCCCTGTCACTAACCTTACCAGCTTGACATGAGGCAGAAGTACAACACTTTTCAAGCAATCCTTGTGTTATCTATGGCCGGTTTGGTAGCTCTGATGACTAAGAGTAGTCTCCTAACCCTCCCATCTCACAATAAATTATGGCCGCAACTTCTTCACTGCAGTACTTGATAGGTAGAGCTGCCATTGACAGGTTGAAGGGGGGATAATGACACCCACTACTTGCCATTTCCTAGTTGGTGGGCATGCTCCATGCCTCCTTGCCTGTCCTTTGTTCACTGCCCCCATCATCTATACTACACTGATACAGATATGTCAGGAACATATCTTTCAGGTTGTGGCACTGGCAAAAACAGAGTAGACATGTAGGCCGGGAATTCTGCATAGCACTGCCTGGCTGCTGCCCCCCACTGGATCCTGTGGGGACTGGAGGTGGGTAGCCTAGCAGCATTAATGCTGAGTGGAGTTTCCGGCCTGTGCACCTATGCTCTTAACACTGAATATGCACAGGGTGGGAGTGGGGCTGCCATAATTTGGATGGCAGTGCAGGCAGGTTTACATGTACCACACAGGCCCCGGCTAAGCTACATTTGTTGGCAGCAGTAGACTGGCATATTCTACTTGGTAGTAAAATGATTTGGAAAGCTCACTTCATGCAAAATTATAGTCAATATCAATACTAAAATGATACGCAGCTTTGATTGTCTTGTAATGAGAGTGAATGCTTTGTCTGAGAAGCAGAACTATGACAGACAGGCAGTTGCCCCCATCCCTGCTTCTCTATGGTGGAAGCTGTAATTTGCTTGGTGTTGACTACTTTGGCGTGTCAGCCTTGCATTTTATACTAGAAGTGCCAGTTAGCCTGCACTGGGCCTAGGGCCCCTCATGCAGAACTTGAGGCTACTTTCTCATAGGAATGAGTTTCTGGAAATGTGTGTCCATCAATGGCACTGGTACTGATTGTTCTACGCAGAACTTGAAATTCTTCAAAAGGATTTGCCACGCACTTCCTTGAGGTCATGTTTTGGTGTTAAAATGCAGCATGTCTTTTGTTACATAAAAACTTCTGTTGAGGCCGTAGGTGCCTTATGTTTTTGAAAGATCTGTTTTATTGATTTGGACAGAACACTATTCTGTTCCAAATAAAATGCTGTTTGTGTAGTTAGGAATAAGATAACAAAGCTTCCCTCCTGGCAGCAGCATTGTAATGGCTGTGGCATTATGGTACATGTCTTTTGTTGTACTGGAGACGGTGAAAATTTCAGTAATGAGGTGAGGTTTGAAGACGATGGATTTTCTCACTGGGATCATTACGAATACTTGTGTGGGAAAGCAGACAGTCCTCTTAGCAAGGAACATTTTGAGCGCTTGACAGAGAATAAGCTCTTGAAGTCTCATAAAAGAATTCAAGCGATAAAGTACATCTCGAGTACTTTCCTTATGCTAATTTTTAAAGTATGGCTCCTACCATCTGTTCCTGGGCCTACTATTTTGCCCTTCCATTGACTCCTGCGAGTGAATTTGTTTAACAACTGCATTTTTGGTAGTGTAAGTTGCAATGGGGGCAGGACTGGGAAATGGAGTTGTGATGCAACATAACCTGTTTTACCCCTCTCCCCACCCCTGACACACACAACATACGCAAGCAGGACTTAAACTGGCCAAAGAAAAGTAAATAGTGGCATAGGGCAAGCTCAGTGGAGATGGGAGAGAAAGACACCACAGCCGTGTTCTCTTGCAGATCAGTAACTGGTTGAGGAATGGGAAGAGTAGGAATAAATGGGCATTTCTTCCCACCAAGGGATGTAGAAAGTTGACACCCCTCCAGGACTGGTATAAGGTGCTCTCACTTTCCACTAATTCATAAATGACCTAGAGTCGGGGTGAGTTGTGAGGCACTCCAAAGGATCTCTCAAGTGGGTGAATGGGCATTAAACTGGGAAATGCAGTTCAAAATAATAATTTGTACCCCACCTATCTGACTGGGTTGCTCCAGCCACTTTGGGCGACTTCCAGCATATGTAAAAACATAGTAAAGCCTTCAAAAGCTTCCCTATACTGGGCTGCCTTCAGATCTTTCCCAAATGTTATATAATTACTCATCACCTTAACATATGATTGGAGGGCCTCCCACAGGGTGGGCATCACTACCACGAAGGCCCTCTGCCTAAGCAAATGTAGAGTGAGAGCTCATCCAAATCTTGTCCCACCGTTTTCTCATGGGAAAGCCTACAGTTTAGTGCTGAATCAGAACAGATGGCAATTGGGTTTTCTGCAGATTGCTGTTTGTCCCAGTTTAGCGCTAAAAAGCAGTTTTTCCTGGCTGGGGGGGCGGGGTAAGCTGCAGGGCAAAGGCAAAACTGCTCGGACCCATGCTTTCTAGGCTTCGGACAAGCGAAAGTGTGGCCAAGCCCTGATACTGTTAAAGATCCATTTTCGAGTGGAACTTGATAGTGAACGTGAAAGAACAGCATTTGCTGTGTGTGTGAAGGCTGGTGAGGCCTGAGATGCACAGTGCAGGATCATTGCAAAAAGCAAATGGATGGATGCTAGATAATCGACCAGGCCAAAAAAGAGAGAGAGGTTCAGATCTTTATTTTCTAATCGAATATTGGGTTTTCTCATGGAGAATTCACAGCCTTCCAAGATTGGAAGATTGAGGGAAACAGAAATTCACACAGCACATAAATCAAGCAATCCGCTACTGCAAGAGGTACCGATGGCCACCAAGTGGGAAGGCTTTAAAACAGGCTTTAAACTCACTGAGGATAAGCCTGTCAGTGGCTCCTAGCCACAGTGGCTGCGTCCAGCTTCGGAAACACCCAATGCTGGGGTGGGGATCGCAAGTGGGCAAGACAGCTACTGCGCTCATGCCCCGTTTCCACCTGCGCGGCGACCGCAAGAGCAGCATGCCGCAGTGGAAGGGTGACTGAGCTGCAGGGACCTTCCTCACATTCTCATAGACAGCCGAACTGAATTATAGAATCATAGAGTTGGAAGGGACCCCAGGGGTCATCTAGTCCAACCCCTGCAATGCTGGGATCTTTTGCCCGACATAAAACTTGAACCCACGCCTCGTAAGATTAAGCGACTCATGTTCTGCCAACTGAGCTATCCCAGCTAGCAAAGCCCGATATGGTTTCATATTGGATGGGATGTTATTTCCCCGCCGCCGCCCCCACACATTGGACGGGATGTGGAGTTTCCTGCATTGCAGGGGCTGGGCTAGATGACCACGGGGATCCCTTCGAACGCTGCCATTCTAGGACCCGTAGCCTTGGACGCCCGGTGGGCGGAGCCTCCATCCTTGACGTCACTGCGTCTCTCGCATGACACGTAGCGCGCAGGGCCCCGCGGCGGCGGCGTCTCCGCCTTCCGCCCCAGCTCCGCCCCATTTCCCCCTCACCGGAAGTAGCCTCTGCCGCTGAGAAGGGAGGAGATGCTACGTAGTTCCGGCGTGTCGCTGGCGGCTGAGGAGCGAGAGCGGAGGGGTGAGGGGGAGCCGTCGGAGCCGCTTGCTGCCGTCGTTGGTCGAGGCTGCTGCTGCTGCCGCCCAGTCCGGTAACAGGGAGCCGCCGCTGGGCGAAGGGAGGCCGCGGGGGAACGCGGGGACTGCGGCGCGGGATGGGCGTTGGGCCTGGGCCGGCGGGCGGCTGAGCGGCCGAGACGGAGGGAGGGAGGGAAGCGAGCAAGTGACACGCAGGCGAGGTGGGGGCGGGGAGGAGTGGTCTGAGGAGGCCGAAGCCGGAGGGAGCCGCTCTTTTCTCTCTCTCTCTCTCTCTCTCCCCCCGGATAATTTATAATTATATTTTATATTATATTTATTATACATTATATTATATATTATAATTATAATATAATGGATGTGTGCTTGTGCCTGTGTCTCTATCCGTCTGTCCATTGACCTCTCGGCACCGGCTCACCATTTCTCTTTCTCTCTCTCTCGGCCTTAGCTAGAGAGCCTTTTCCTTCTCTTACGTGGCTTGCCGGGATTGCCTCCCTCTTCTTTCTTTCTTTCTTTCTTTCTTTCTTTCTTTTTTTTCTCTCTCTCCTCAACTCCTTCCTCCTCAACTCTCTCCGTCGTTCTCCTTTAGTTTATTTATTTTTGGGGTCCCCGAAGTCCCCAAGGCTCAGCTGCTGACAGCCCACCTTTCTCACTTCCATCCTTCCCCTCCTCAAATACAAAAAGGGGAGGTGGGGTATTAATACTAATAATGGTGTTGTAATGCTAAACCGGTGTTGTAAAATCGGGGCTGGAAAGCACGAGTGGAGTAGTGACCTCTCTCTCCCCCGCCCACACAAAAAATGGCAATCTGTGTCGGTCTCTTGAGAATGAGAGTGACACCTGTGCATTTTTTTTGTGGGGGGCAGGAGGGAGAGGCTTGCCACCCTGGTTGTCCTCCAACTAGTTGCTGGCTTGGGTTGTAAGGTTGTAGTTGGTTTGAATAGCCGGAACTGCTAGCAGTATATTCCGCCCACCCGCTACTCATCCTTAGTTTTGGCTTCGCCCTAAGGCAGTTTGCTCTCTGTAGGATTGCCACCTTTATCCCTTCGCTCATAGGCACTTTCGTTCCTTAAAGAAATATATAGGAGGCTCCCAATTCTTGGCAAGTGAATTCTGTTCACCCGTTGGGTTTCTGGTTGTTATGTACTCTGGTTAGTCACAAGGGGTAGGGGGAAAAGATAGCAACCCAGACTTGGCATTTGGATTTTATGTGAGCTTTGATGAAGGGATGAGTGGTGCTGTTCATTTCTTGGGAGTGTATTGTAACCCAGGGTTAATTTCCAAACTTGGGTCACCAGCAGTTTTTGGACTACAACTTCCATCATCCCTAGCTGGCAGGACCAGTGGTCAGGGATGATGGGAATTGGTAGTCCAAAAACTGCTGGAGACACAGGTATGGGAAACACTGCTGTAACCTTTGTAAATTTATGTTAAAAATACTCCCCCCCCCATGGTAACTGAATAGTTTGACAGCTAACTTTTAAAATAACCAAAATGTTTTGAGCCATAAGCCTTTCTGGAATTCATGCCCTCTATCCTAGAAATCATGGAAGTTCATTTACTTTATTAGTAGTAACGGCAAATGGCACTCTGTAAGTGCTGACAATAGTTTTGTTGTCAGAATCACAGAAGTTGGAAGGGAACCCAAGGGTCATCTAGGCCAGTCCCCTGCAATGCAGGAATGTCAACTGGTTCAGACTTCAGAACCTTTTCTTGGCATCAGTCTGTTTATGGGGCTGAGCGCTGACTGATTAAGCTTGGAATTTATAGTATCCTATTTGTGTAGCTGTGTTGAAATAAGGAAGGATTATTATCTGGTAATGCTAGACTTTAGACAGAAAAGTTGGTGGGTAACTTGTTCAGTGTTCAAATTTATGGGGAAAATGTCCCCACCCTAACCCCCTCCCAATTTTAGCTCTGTAGCCTTTGCTTTGCATTCCACTCCCTCTTGTAATTCAAGCAGCAGTTTTGTTGTAACATTTGGATTCCATGCTTTTGAATTTATAAATACATTAGAAGTTTAAAAGTTATCCATTTGGAATTAGATGAACCGAAGAAGATGTGGTCTGAGCACCAATTAAACGGCCTTAATATTGGTATCCATGGGTACTTTTTGTAAGAACATTTGTGAGCATAGTGAGTGTTATTGTGTGTTTTATGGAGCATGGTTCACCTGCTGTGGTCCATACTGAAGCAAGGAACAACTTTTCCCACCCTCAGTTAAGATGAATGTGTATCCATGCATTCTTCTATTGTATTCTGAGAGAAATGGATGCCAGTGGCTTATGTACCTTGCTTACTTGAGTGTTCCCTAAACACACTAGCTGCAGAAGGAGAACCTTTATTTGTGTTCACCATATGCAGTGACAAGGCAGGGGATCCGCAGCTATATGGTAGTTGGGGCACTTGTTAGCCCTTTACAAAGGCCCCTAAAGACTTGTTTTGGTGCATAAATCTGAAATGAAAGGCTCCCAACCAAGAGAAATCAATTTAATTTCTCTTCTATATTTTCTTTTTGTGATTTGTGGGGCTGTCACTCAAAGTCTTGCATAAGAAGTAATATATATTTGGAAGCTTCGGGAAGACACCTCGTAACATTTCTACTAAGAATAGAACTTGACTTCATATGGGGTTAGAGTAACCTGCTATGCATATCAAATATGCTGGTACAGAGAGTCAGTTGAAAACATAGGAGCCATTGTGCAAACTGTTTAGCTTATATTCCCTGCTTGAGGGAGGAAGTGTTGATTTGTTCCTGCTATCTTCATAGCTACCACACAGTTTTTTTTTCTGCTGGTCCCTCTTAAATGGCAACTTTCTAGTTCATAGGAAATTATGATAGCTGAAATGTTCTTGTATATAGCCAAAATTCACAAACAATTGCTTTTATTTTTCCTCCTAGGCAATTGAACTCCCACAATGTCATTCATATTTGAATGGATCTACAATGGCTTCAGCAGTGTTCTGCAGTTTCTAGGTAAGGCTTCAAATGTTCACCTATGAACAGTTCTCTTGGGCTTAGTGTTAACATCTGAACTGCTGGTTTTCACACATTCTGCTACTAGGAACTGAGAGGTGGTGGCACATTATCTGATGCCATTTTCACCCCTCTGACTTTTCTAATTCTGAATGTGTCATTTTACTCATTTGCCCTAGAGACCTTGCTAATTTTTAATTTCTTAAAACTGGCTACCTACAGTGGGTCTCAAATTTCATCAGCACCCTGTACAGTGCCAAAATTCTACACACTCCCCTAACCCTCCTCTGCTACTTTGCAGTCCCATCTCTAGTTGATAGGCTGCAGCTCTTCAGATTTTAAGAAAGGAAAGTGTCCTATCCCCACCAGGAGATGCCAAGGATTGAATCTGAGATCTTCCGTATTTAAAGCATGTGTTGTACTGAGCTATGATCCTTCTCCCCTTTTCCCTCTTGGCTAACTTCATCAGATGTATTGGAGTCTATATGGAAGTAATTGTACAATTACAAGGAAAGGGTGGAGACATCATAGCTTACAATTCTAGGAGACTAAAGGGCACAGAAACCTGGGTAAGAGGGGCAAGCAGCAACACCCAATGAAAACAAAAGACTTCTACTTTGTATAGTACCTAAGAAGAAGTAGTCTGTCTTAATTTCAATACTGTACAAGTTAGAAACCTCAGCCCTTCCACAAATGCTCCCTTCTTCCACTAGTAGCACTGGCAATTCTCTGTAGAAAAGCATCTGTTAATGTGCCCAAGGTAGCATGGATATTCAAGATACAGTTTTCAAGATCCATTTATTCTAATTATACAGCTTACTTTGATCCAGTGATCTTATTCCATTTTTTAACATGCTGCTTTTCTGTTCTGCAGGATTATACAAGAAGTCCGGAAAGTTAGTTTTCTTGGGTTTGGATAATGCAGGCAAAACCACTCTTCTGCACATGCTTAAGGACGACAGGTTGGGTCAACATGTGCCTACCCTGCATCCAAGTAAGCTTTTCATAGCTTTGGGTGGTGTTATCTATTAAGGTCATTTTTTTTAAAAAAATGCTACTGTATGTTACTAGACTACTTAGAGCAGGCATGGCCAAACTTGGCCCTCCAGCTGTTTTGGGACTACAATTCCCATCATCCCTGACCACTGGTCCTGTTAGCTAAGGATGGTGGGAGCTGTAGTCCCAAAACAGCTGGAGGGCCAAGTTTGGCTATGCCTGACTTAGAGCCTGGCATGTATGTTTTAAAAAAGTTGTATAATAGCAGTTTTCATTGCCTTGAAAAGTAAGGCTTATAAGCCTAATACCTTTTGTAACGATTAATAATTTTATAAAAAACTAGTAAGAGATTATAGGGGACTGTGTCATTAAATGCACATTATACCTGGTAAATTTTTATAAGCTAGAATTAAAAATAATTCCATGTCATTTGAAGAATTTGAAAGTTTAAGAGGTAATTTTAGACTTAGGTGGTGCTTTAAGGCTAGGGTCTTAGCCCTTCAGTCATTGCTAGAGTCCAGCTCCTCAGCCACAAACAGCCAATGGCCTGGGATGATGGGAACTGCTGCTGTTGTCATTGGACTGCATCTGGATGGCAGCAGGTTAGCCATCCATGCTTTTAAAGTCTGGTTTGTCCTGAATGGCTTCTCTTAGATGCAGGCATATTTATATGTGAGAGAAACAGTACAACCAACCAGTACCGGAGTTCATAAAATATTTTCCTTCTTTGCTGCAGCATCAGAAGAACTGACAATTGCAGGAATGACTTTCACAACTTTTGATCTCGGTGGCCATGAACAAGGTAAAAGCAACATTTCCCGTCTTGTGATTCGCGATTGATAAGTGTTTCTGTCTAGGTGTTGGTTATTTTGACGTAGCAAATTATTAACTGGGAGTTTTAATTAGCTGGTCATGATGATGCCATCATGGTTCTCAACCTTTTTGGTATGGTGACCGCCCCCCGCCAAAGTCCAAATTTACTTGGCATGGCAACCCATCAATTTATGTTGTTTTTTCCTCGCTGTCGGTTTACTGTTACATGAATTTTGAATCACAAGCTAGAGTTTGTGGAGCTCTTGTTGCTATGCTTTTCTCCTCAAACCATACTTTTCCCTCTTGGCTCCACACTTGCATGATCTGGAATGATATGACAACTCCTGTTCTCAAAGGGGGGGGGGGAACACTTGAAACGAAGAGTGCCCTTTCACCACTCCCACACACCCAAAATAAACCTTTGGGTCTTTACTCCACACTTCCCTTTGTGGGGGGGGGGGTGTTTGAAACAACACATTTTTATACAAGCCAAGTCTGTATATTTTTTAAAAAATACAATTTTTGTTTGCTCTGGGGATATCGTAATACTTGATGTTATAGCAACATCCACCATGAAAAGAACCTCACAGCTAAGTCAGTCCAAAAGCCCATCTAGTCCAGCATCCTGCGTTCACACATGCTAACCAGATGCCTCAGGATGCTTGCAAACGGGACCTGAGTATCCACAGGGGTACTGCCTTCAGTAGAGGAGGTGGAACATAGTTATTGTGGCTAATAGCCGTTCTAATCCTCCTTACGGAAACAGATCTCTTGTAGAAACAACCACATGGAGATAAAATGTAGCTGGGTTTTTAAAGCAGAACAAGTTGGCCTCAAGAAATGGCCCTGAAAATGTGGACGTACTGAAATTTTGAAGCTAGTTCACATAATGTATACTTTTTAAATTACTGAGCATAGGTGTGAAGTGAGCGCTTGCCATAGAAATAAAGGAATTAAGGCGCCCCAAGGGTCATCTAGTCCATCCCCTGCACTGCAGGGGAAAAGATAAGCACATGCAGTAGCTACTAGTGACGTTGTTGACTTTGATTATAATGGCAAGCTGGAAATTGAAAATGTGTCGAGAAACACTCGTGACCAAAATTCTGCCCTTCTTGGGTATTGCAGCTGGTGGCTGTGTTACCTTTATAAAAATGCTTTTCTTTCCCTTTTAGCTCGGCGTGTTTGGAAGAATTATCTACCAGCGATTAATGGGATTGTCTTTTTAGTGGACTGCGCAGATCATGCACGTCTTTTGGAGTCCAAAGTGGAGCTTAATGTATGTAGCTTCCCCCCAGTTTTACACAGCCAGTTGGAGCCTGTATAGAATCTCTCTTCCTTTCTGTCACCTGAAAAATTGGATCTTAAGACTGTGTGAAAGAGAAGAGGTGTCATAATGAGAAAAATCTAATAAATATAAAGTGGAGAATGAAAACAAGGCAGTAGTAGTTAAAGCATCTAAGTTATAGAAACAGTTTTAGGCCTGAACATACTTTTCAATAAGCTTCTGTCGGACTTCACTGTAAGTCAAGTGCAACTACCATGATGCCTCACTTTGTACAGTAGTGCAAAGATTTTATGTATGATAATAGACAAGAAACTGTTTGGGATTTATTTAGAATCATTGCTGCAAATATGTTATGACGCACATGTAATTCTCTTTTTCATATTAGGCACTAATGACTGATGAAACAATATCAAATGTGCCAATTCTTATCTTGGGTAACAAAATTGACAGACCAGAAGCTATCAGTGAGGAAAAGCTGCGAGAGATTTTTGGGCTTTATGGGCAGACCACAGGAAAGGTAAGAAGCCAAAGCTGGTCATAAAAATAAGAAAATTGATATACCGTATTGCAAGACTGATATCCTTTTAAAAGCTCTCTCAGTAGAGTGGTATTTCAAGATCCAAGCCTTGAAATCTGAAGTTCTAATGGCTTTTAAAATACTGAAAAAGGACAGATAACAGGCTTTCAGTACATCTGTGTGTGATGCAAATATTAGTAGTTTTACTAGCCTACTAAAGAGGTTAGTAGCCTGTGTTTCTGTGCTAGCCCAGGAAGGGGAGAAACTTCTTAAAAGACTAGTGGGGAAAATTGCCTTCTACCAAACAGGCTGACTGCCTTTCTTCCTCAGCCAGTGCAGAAACAAAGAGCTCTAGCAGAAGAGGAAAACAAGAGATCCCTCCCTCTCCACCAGCCCCCTCGCTCACCATGTAATTCCTGGTCACCAATGGCTACCAGGCAATTTGTTAAGTAAAAGGCTAGTTTTAGTCAAAGCTATAATAGAAGTACAATTGGTCAAGGAGAACTGCAAGAACTCACTTTCGTAGAATAGCTTTATTTGGTATATTTGCTCCTTTTTGGAATTCTTTCTCCTATGTGCAGTCAGAAATGACCAAACTTGTATAGTATGTGAACCCCTGGGTTCCCCAAAAAGAGATGAACAACAAAATTTCCTGACACTTTAAAGACTAATAGATTTATTGTGTCATAAGCTTTTCTGGTCTACTTCATCAGATGCATGAAATGTTACCTTCAGTGGGAGGATACATATATATGTGGGTGTAGAGAGAGAATTGTAAAAAGTGAGCAAGGACAAATCTAGTGTGACAAATCTAGTAAAGCATAAATATATACAAGATCATTCACAACAGCAATCGTTACTAATAACATAGGAAGCCTTAAGTCGTTGTGTTAATGAATGCCTACTAAAGGACATGCTTTATCTAGATTTAAAGCCTAAACAAATCAAATCAAGCTTCTCCGATTTAACCATTTCCTGCTTGAGTCTCCATTTGAAGTTCCTTTATTGGAGAATAGCAACTTTCAGGTCAACAGTAATGCCTTAGGAGATTGAATTTTGCATACGGCGATTTCTTAATATTGCCATTTTTGTTGTCCAGTTGGGTTCCATTTATTTTTACATAGACTGTACGTAAAAAACACAAGAACATTGCTGGCTGATACATATACTGAGATTTTAAAATGTGATGCATATGTTCATGTTCACCTGACCTCTATGGATATACAGCAAATTTTATTTTTGTTTCTTGCATTTATGTACTGCTTACTATGTTTCAGTCAAAAATTCAAAAATACCATTTCAGTCAAAAATTCAAAAATACAATTTTATATATTTGTGAAATTTACAATTTAAAATGTTTACAATTAAATATAGCTCAGCTGTTTGCAAAAGGGGTTTCAGACAGCCCTACACTGAGCTTTGGCTGCACCAGACTGCGTGCCAAACTGGGGAGGGATTTACCCTACTCACCAGCTGATGAGGGTGAGTTAAATCCTGCTGATTTGGCTGTATACATCAGTTCCCAACAGGGGAACTTGTGCACACAGCCGACATAGAATCAAACGTTGCCCCTCAGGTGATCACACCCACCCGCCCTGTTGGAGTGTTGTCAGTTGATTGGCAGGTGGGTGTGTTTTTAAAAAATGGCATTGCAGGCCAAATTTAAACCCCAGTGCACCATGATTGGCCTGCAGCTCAGAAGTTCCCTACCCCTAATTTTTAAGAAAGTTTTGTTTGTGTTTGAAGCCATGCGTAACTCTTTTACTGTTTTAAGAATTCCACAACTGAGTCTCTGTGAATGAATTCTTGTTTGACTCTAGGGGAATGTGCCACAGAAGGACTTGAACACACGTCCCATGGAAGTGTTCATGTGCAGTGTACTGAAGAGGCAAGGCTACGGTGAAGGTTTTCGCTGGCTATCGCAGTATATTGACTGATACTTGGAGAGAAATCTACTCCTGGACTGATCCTGTTCACAGCTTCCTTATGGACTTTTCTATTAGAACATGGAAGGCTCTCCAACCGCATACTGGCAATGACCGAGAGACTCCTGTCTTCACTTACCCAATATCACAGTGGTGACACAATTCTTTTCCCTTTGTCTGGGAGATAACATTCTACACACTGGTGCAGATTGTTGTCACTCCAGTTGCCATTGTTTCCCATGGAAACCATGGCTTTCAGTTACAATGGGGCTGGTGAGTTGGAACGCAAAACTGCACACAGCGCTCTGAATGGCTGGAAAAGAGAACCTGTCTCACCACTGTGGCCAATTGACTTTGGAAAAAGCAATTCTATTTTTTAAAGAAAGTGTTTAATGTAAACGGTGTCCCTTTAGATTTCTTAAGTTAGCATTCATCTTGTTTGGGCCAGAATTCGATAGGGAGGGTTTTTATTAATCTATTTAAATGTTATTTAGATAGAGAGATCCCAAATTACTGAACCAGCTATCATGATATTAATAATTCTTAGTGAACAGAAAGATGGGCTCAGTTGCCCTGTAAGAGGGTTGTGCTGTCACACTGTTTGATCATGAAGATGGTGCTATTGGGACTGACTTGTGCAATGATTTGTTTTCTTTAATTTACAGGGGTTTTAGTTGGGGAGGGAAATGGAACGCACATGCAGACACACTTGTTCTAGCTTTCCATGTCATTATGCATAGGAGTCTGAAATGCGGTTAATCACCTTAGCCCACCTCTCAAAGTTACCACCACTTCCTTTGTCGGCAGTCTTCTTATCCCCCTTCTCTGCAGTAGCAGTGGAACAGTTGTTTCAGGCTTGTGATATGGTTTGTTCTACATTGCAGGCAACTGCTGGAAAAAAATGCAGTAGAAATCATGAGTTTATTTTGTTGGGTTACTGTAGCATTAAATTTTTCCACCAAATGCATATCATAATGCTGTTAATGTAAACTAACCCTGTTTCTTTTATATTCAACAGAGCTTGTGTTTGAAATTTCATTACTTGCCTAGACATCTTCATTTTCCATTTTAAAGAAACCACAAGTAGACATCAGTCTCCTTTAAAGGAGTATGATGGGGCTTTAGGTGAAATTATTTTAGTGCTCGCTGGCAGTGTATTTCACTGATAGATGCAAGAGATTGGTGGCTCAGAGTCTGAAAACTCTTGAGATGACTTGTGTGCTAAATTTTGTTACAGAAGATGAAATGCAAAATAGCAAAACACCAGAAGAACTCTTTTTTGTGCCATAGGCACTTTTTCTGCTGAAAGGTGCACTCTGTTGCTAGAACTTGAGTAGGTTAACTTGATGGTTAGTTCCTGTGATCTAGCACCTTTTGTCTCTGCATCAAAATCTTTGAAAGGGAAATAAGTCCTTAACATAACCATTAATAGTTTGAAATTCCAGTTTTTTGTGCTGATGGTGTGAAAATCGTTTTTTGTTTTTTAAAAAAAAACTTCTGAGTTTTGCCACATTCACTCAGCGCTCGGGCATGTCAAAATGTGTTGCTATTTACCCAAACACTTAATGGATTCCACTGAAGCATGTAATGCAGCTGTAAAGACAGGAGAATTTACACTTTCTCTGCCAGCAAGAGGAAGAGAATGTATTGCTAACATGGTACACTTAAATTACACCGGTTGATGCATCTGACCTGTAAAGCTTAATACAGTTGGGGTACTCCCAGGGTAGTTTAAGCTGAACCATCATTAGAAAGAAGCGTGCGACAGTAAACTATTCCTGAAAAGCATAACAAGAAGTCTGATCAGGATCAATAAGGCTCTCTTTCCACTTATAGAATACTTGTAATTCTTGACCTATTTGCAGTGTCTTCACCAAAAATGGCTGCATATAGCATCGTCATTGATTTCTCTTTTAATCTTGTCTCTGTGAAGCCTTTTGATTTTACAGAAGCTTTTCAATCTGTAAATATCTGCCCAGGCCACCGTGCCTATGACTGTGTGGCCAAGGAGGTGTAGAGAACCACGTCAAACTACAGTGGTCATGCAAACACACTTGACTTTAACCGATCAGTTACTACATTATTTGAATCTCCAGTATTGACCACCTAGAGTTCTCCTGTTGGATGTTACATTCAAGGAATGCTAATGGAATTGTTCTTGAAACAATATGCGACCTGGTAACCCCTTACCAGAAGTGACATACTCCAGTTCCATGCTTAAAGGGAAGACCCTAGTGAACAGAGCTATGGAATTTGTGCCCAGTAGAGGCATAGTTTTCTATGAAGGTGGTGTCTCAACCACTGGAGAAAGTACTTGTGAATAGCTCTGACCTTTCCCCCCTCCGCCTTGCCATGTATTGTCATTAGACAAGTCTTAACTCCTTGCAATGTATGGATATAAAGTTTAATATATACTTTAGAAACTGGATTACAGATTGGAAGGAGAGAGAACATGTCATTCTGTTAGCAAAATGTTTTAACTTCCCATTTCTGGAAACGTGAAACATGTTTGCAGAGAAGGTTTGTCTGTATCCAAAACATTTTAATAAAGTTTTTTTAATAAAAAAAAACAAGAACAACCCATCACACTTAGTGGACTGAGTCTGGCCATAATCCTAATACGTTAGAAGTTCATATGCTCACAAAATAAACTAGTGATAAATGGTGTACAGTTCCTGATCTATAATGGCATTTTAGATGAATGGTTTTAATATAAAAAAGTGACTTGAAGGTAGTAGAAAGTATGTCACATAGTAGTGTTAGCCACCAAATATGTTCAATTACGTAACTGAGGGAGTTAATAATATATTTTCTGGCATGTGAAGCTCTGAAGCATGTTTAGGTTAGCTGGTTGGTTCAGAAGAAAACCTATAAAGGAAAAGGAAGCCCTTTCTGCATGTGGAGTTGCTTAAAAAGAACGAGATTGAAAATTCATTAACAGGTTAAAGCCCGATTCAGAAGTTAACACAGAAGTAGAGCCTGAACAAGCGTATAACTGGTACAGTTTCTGTTTGTATATTTCAGCTAGTTGCTATTACTTAAGTGGCCATTTGAATGAAAATTAAAGTAGATTCTATTTAAGATATGCAAAAAAAAAGTATTCTTTCTTGCAGCTTTTGCTCTTAGATGTACATTCTTTCATAACTGGGTGGAAGGTGAAAAAAGTGCTTAGTAGCTGCAGCCGAGGGGGAGGGAGGAAGATCTGGAGGTGATGTTGCCAGTTGTTTTGTGTACTGTGTGTGGGTTGCACAAGAGAGGGGAGGAAGCCTGGAAATGGCAGGGAAGGTGAAAAGGGAGCTTGGTAGTTGCATGGAGGGGGTGGAGCAAGCAGGAGCACAGCCCCTAGTAAAAAAACAACGAAAAGAGTTAATAACCTGTCCAAATAGGCCATTGTCTTCATCGCATACATGTTATTTGAGTAAGATCCTTGTGATCATCTCATTCTGTGCATTTCTTTAAAAGTTTTGCATTTTCTCCCAGGCCATATTGGGGGAAGGCCGGCACAAGAATCTCCCTGCCCCAACCTTAACTAACTTGATGGATAAAGAGACTGCGGTAAATACTACGTTTTGCAACCTCAAGCAGCTCCTTAAATTCTGTTGTGGCAGATACGGCACACAGATTACCCAACCTGCTCTGCTGCTTGAAAGCATGCATATCTAAGAGCAAGAGGAAATGCAAGAAAGGACATGTTTATGCGTAGCTTGAATAGAATCTACTGCTCTAATTTCCTAGTAGTAGTGCGACATCTTGCATTTTTTAAAAATTAGGAAATTGTTTGTTTTTTTCAGCCAATGCTAGGCAATGCAGGGGATAAGGAAAGTTGTGCACGTGCTTGGTGCAAACCAGTGTTGCCTAGCAACAGCCTGGCTGGGCTGTAATTTTGCAGCTGGACCCGCTGCCAGTATGGGTGCGTAATGGAGTCTGAGAAGTCAGGAGGCAGAGAGGTTTCCTCTGCAAAAAAAAAGGGTTCAGCCAGAGGCATTAAAAGGAATTACATATAGAGAGGTAAAATAATTTTTAATAAGACAATTAGCAACTGAACTAAATAATGGCAGGGAGACGTGACAGTTTCAAGGCAGGGGATAAAAATACAAGTATGAAAGGAGATGGGGAGGAGAAATTATGGGAGGTGAGTAAAAACAGTTTGACAGGCATGCAGGGAGGAAATATAAAATACAGGCTTTTCAACTTAAAAGCCTCTAAAGCAAGTTCTTCCTACAATGAGTGGATTCAGAGTACCTCCACAGCTAATGTCTATATTTCATAGACTCATAGAAGTGGAAGGGACCACAAAGCTCATCTAGTCCAACCCCCTGCAATGCAGGAATTTTTAACCCAAAGTGGGGCCTGAGCTATCCCCCCCCTCTCAAGACACTGCATGAGCCTCTGAACTAAAATAAACATGAACACCTGAAATGAGAAGCCACCTGCTCCATCTGCCTGCATTGTTTTCAGAACCCAATGATGGCCATAGACTGCGGGCACAATTTCTGCTGGGACCACATTGCCCAGTGCTGCGAAAGGCCTAGTGCAAATGTGTTCTGCCTGCCTGCATTGCAGAAAGCGCTTTCCCTGGCTGAACCTCCAGCCCATCAGGCACCCGTGTAGTATCAGAGAGTTTGCCATGCAGTGTGGCATGCGGCAAGCAAAGCAGAACAAAAGCTGTGCAAGAGACACCAGGAACCCTTGAAGCTTTGCGAAAAATGATCAAACATCCATCTGCGTGGTTTGCAACAGGTCCAGGGTGCATAAAGATCACAGCATGATTCCTATAGAGAAAGCTGCTCCAGTTCACCAGGAGAAAATACATCGCTGTTTGCAAACTCTGGAAGAAGAGAGAGACAAGATTTTGTCATTTAAATTACATGTAGGGAAGCCAAGCTAGGATCTGGCAAAAACCGAAGCTGAGAAGCAAAAGCTTGTGTTGGAATTGGAGAAGCTCCACCAGTTTCTTGAGAAAGAAAAACAACTGTTAACCCAGCTGGATTGGGAAGGAGGAAGAAGAGCTATGTGGCTTAATTTTCTGAGATTTCCCCTAGGTAAAGGTAAAGGGACCCCTGACCATTAGGTCCAGTCGTGGCCGACTCTGGGATTGCGGCGCTCATCTCACTTTACTGGCCGAGGGAGCCGGCATACAGCTTCCGGGTCATGTGGCCAGCATGACTAAGCCGCTTCTGGCGAACCAGAGCAGCACACGGAAATGCCATTTACCTTCCCGCTGGAGCGGTACCTATTTATCTACTTGTACTTTGACGTGCTTTCAAACTGCTAGGTTGGCAGGAGCAGGGACCGAGCAATGGGAGCTCACCCCGTCACGGGGATTCGAACCGCCAACCTTCTGATTGGCAAGTCCTAGGCTCTGTGGTTTAACCCACAGCGCCACCTGCGTCCCTTTTGAGATTTCCCCTATCAGCACCCTAATCAATGAGCTGGAGCCGAAGTGTCAGGAGTTTCTAGCTGGGCTGCTGCAGGATATTGGAAATAACAGGTGCATTAGGGGCAAATTTCAGTTTCCGGCTCCACCCGGTTCTTCAGAGCTCAGTGCAGTGCATCAGGAATTCTCCAAAGAGAGAGTGTATCGCTGCAAGGTGAACTAAGGAAGTTGAGAGAGACTTTGACTGAACAAAAGTGGATAGATGAGAATGTGATGCTGGACCCCGCGACAGCTCGCTCTCGATTTATTGTGTTTGACAGTCAGAAAGCTGTTGCATGGGGAGCTGTCCTGCAGCACTGGTAGATTCAACCCCACCCACTGTGTGCTTGGCTCTCAAGGGTTAACATCAGGGAAGCATCAGTCGTGGATGTGAGCAAGGGAACTTCCTGGGCTGCAGGTGTGGCCAGAGAATTTGTGAAGAGGAAAGGACTGCCGAATATTGTCCCTGAGGAGGGAATCATGGCTGTTAGGCCTGGGCGATGTATCAGTATTAGGGCTGGGCAATACCTGCTTTTCAACATCAAAATAAACATTGCGATATTTCAATAATGTCTGAAGCTATGTAGAGGCAAAAATGGTGATGTCCTGGCAACTGCTACTACTTATGAGTCTGACTCTGAAACTGATAATTTTCTATGTAACCTTTAACATATTGCTACAACGGTTGTGCTACTTTAAACATTATCAGTACAACAGTACTATAGCCTGTTTTCTGTAAAATTAAAGGGGTAGAAAGACTCTAAATCTGATGGCTGGATAGCTCGGTTAGAGTGTGGTGCTGATAATGCTAAGGTTGCAGGTTCGAAACCCATATGGGGCAGCTGCATATTCCTGCATTGCAGGGGGTTGGACTAGATGATCCTTAGGGTCCCTTCCAAGTCTACAATTCTATGAAAAGACAAACGTTTACTCAGTGATAGCATCATTAACTAAACCATTAAAAATTTCTGGAGAATATAGTACTGTTCTATGCAGTTTTGTGGGCAAAGTCAAAATTCACAGAGGTAGTAGATTTAGAAAAAATATTAAATAAACCTGTGTATGATTATAAATTTAATTTATTTTCAACAAATTCAAGAGTAGTTTAAGTCTACTTGCACCACCTGTGGGATGATGGCAGAATCGCAGAGTTGGAAGGGAGGGACTTCTGAGGGTCTTCTAGTCGAGTCCAGCCCTCTGCAAGGCAGGAACCTCACTGATGCAGCCGTGATAGGCTGCCATCCAGCCTCTCCCATAAGAGAGCAAAGGCAGCCAGTTAAATCCCCCCCCCTTTACTTAACCCATTTGTGACACAAGGAACAAGAAGGCTTTAAGGCAGGCTTCCTCAAACTGGCCCTCCAGATGTTTTTGGCCGTCAACTCCCATGATCTCTAGCTAGAAGGACCAGTGGTCAGGGATGATGGGAACTGCAGTATCAAAACATCTGGAGGGCCGAGTCTGAGGAAGCCTGTTTAAGGGCATGGCAAATATATGTGCTTTTTTTTACTCCTGAGTAAAAAATTCCTGCGTTGCAGGGGGTTGGACTAGATGACCCCCCATGGCTCCCACCCAACTCCACAATCCTATGAAATCACGGCTTTGTGCCGCGGCGAGCTTCGCTTTACTTGGGCGGCTCTCCCCCTAGCCCCGCCCCCGCCCCAACCAACCAGCTCCCGATCCTGCCAGGAAATCTTCCTGCTGAGCCGCAAGCAGCCAATCGCGGAGGACGTCCGCAGCACGAGCCGCTGCAGCCAACCGCGGCTCGCTTGCCCGGGCAGAGCAGCCAATAGGAGCGGGATCTTTGGCCCACCTGACCTTGCTCGCTCGGCTCCGTTCTGATTCCGGCTGCAGCCGCTGACTCGCGCGCTTTCGAAACCTTAGGACTTTGCCCTCTGTTCGCGCAGGGCGCCCAGGAGAAGGGGATCTCCGTGAGTTTTGCACCTGCTCTTTCCAGCTAAGCGAACAGATCCCAGGGGTGTGTGGGGATCATCCCCACGTGCCTCCTTCGCCCGAGTTCTCTTGCACAACTTCGAAGCTTCACCCTCCCTCTGTAAGGCTCTGATCCCCCTCCTGAGCTGCTCTTACTTTTTCCACCATGCCGAGTGGATTTCTCTCCCGGTGCTGCTAAGGAAACGCGTTCTTCCTCCCCGCAATGGCCGAGGCTCTGCGGTTGATAGCAGAGAAAGCTGGCTGTGTCGTCCGTGTTTCTCACGCGCGCGGATCTGTGCCGCAAGGACCCTGGAGTGGCAGCGGCGTCCTTTTGAAGCCGGACCCGGCCATTGTCCTCTGTCATGGCTCCGTCTTCTCTCCTTTCCTCCTGCCAGCCGAGCACCAAGACTGGGCCCAGAGCCGATTTCTGCTCCCTGATAGCTTCCCCCGGGACATCCAGATCCAAGTGCTGAGGCCAGCAGAATGCAGTCTTAAAGCTCCCAGTAGGAACTGGCTAGGTGGAGATCTGGTGGGAAACACCCCAGCCTTGAGATTCAACCCGCTTTCAAATTGGCACGAGACACCCAGCGGCCTCCGCTGCCACAAGGCCGAACTCATCGTTATGCTTCCCTGTGTGCCGTTCCAAGATGCTTTCTCCAAAGTCTTCAGCTCCACTGAACAGTGGCGTTTTGGCACAGAGGAGGAAGTTGAAGAGGAATCCAGCGCCCCGGAAGATGAGGCGCGTTTCCTGCCCTGGTTTGCCCTGCTGAGGATCTTGGATGGTGATTCCCATGGTGTGGGCGGGGTGAGCTGCGTGGCGGCCGAAACGCTGAGGAAGGGAGACCCGGTCTTCGCCTGTGGCTCCCCGTTTGGCTCCTTTTGCCCGGACATCTTCCTGAACACCCTCAGCAAAGGGATCGTGAGCAACACATCCGGAGAAAGCAACGCCCTAATCCTGACCGACGCTCGCTGCTTGCCTGGCACCGAAGGGGGCGGCGTCTATGCGTTATCAGAAACTGGCCTTCACTTGGTTGGGATAATCGTAGCTCCGCTTTGCTGGAAATCCAGCGAATGGGTTGGTCTAACTCTGGTTTGTGCCGTCAACAGTATTCTACATTGCATCCGGAGCGTCCTTTCTGGGCCTCACCGGGCTCTGAAAACGTGGCTGAACCCCTTGGAACTTGTGGCCAAGTCTCACGGAAAGATGGTGGCCAGAGACGGACCACATCAGCAAATGCTTGCTGCTGTGGTTCTGGTGGAACGGGGCCTCACCTGGGGATCTGGCGTGATCGTGAACTCAAGACTGGTGTTGACCTGTCGACACGTGGCCAACGGCGCAACAAGTGTCTGCGTTAGGTTGCAGCCCAGCCACGGAAAGTATGTTTGGATTCTCACCTGTATTGAGAGATGCTGAGGTCAAGTTCTGTTTGCTTTGCTGCATCTTCTAGTCTCTCCAAGATTTGACACTTGAGCATTCAAACCTGCGCTGCTCAGTCAACAGTGTAGACCTGGGTTTCTTAGTGGGCTGGAGCCACAGGGGTGAGCAGTCTGGGTATATGCCAGATGTTGATCTTGTAGAGAAGCAAATCACATAGCACCTAGAATCCCCATTCAGTGCACTATATAGAAATTGAGAAACCATCACCTGTGAATTGGAAAGAGATAATAAACTTGAGTGTCAATATAGTGGACACTTCCTTTAAAAAGGAATTCTGTTTGCTTCATATTTTTACAGAGCCACGCGGGGCACTTTTTGTGTGCCCATAACGCCGATGGTTTCATACATGGCTAGGCATATTTCCAGCAGTGTGCATCTTCCAAGTAGAGTGGTACCTCGGAGGTCTGTTCTTAACCTGAAACTGTTCTTAACCTGAAGCACCACTTTAGCTAATGGGGCCTCCTGCTGCCGCCGCTGCATGATTTCTGTTCTCATCCTGAAGCAAAGTTCTTAACCCAAGGTAATATTTCTGGGTTAGCGGAGTCTGTAACCTGAAGCGTATGTAACCCGAGGTACCACTGTATATGCACTCTGGGGAGTCAGGATTGTCCATGTTGTGGGAAATGTATGTTTTCCACTAGGTAAGTTGACTATTTCTGAATGTGCAGATCAACCCACATGTGGATAACTCAGTGAGACCTGTTTCTAACACACTTCGCAGGGCATCATGAAAAACATAGTGGCTTGGCTCTCATTTATGCTGACAGCACATGTTTAAGAGACTTTCCCAAAGGATTTCATCATCTTAATAGTTAGGCCAGTTGAGCAATGCCAAAAATCCTGGCTTATTGCAAATATCTGTATCTGCTGTCTCCTTAACGCTTTCTTTTGTTTGCTCCTAGGAGTTCTGTAGCTAAAGGAAAAGTGGTATTTGCTACCAAGGACTCTTCTCCCTATGATGTGGCACTGGTAGAATTAGAAGAAGACCTGCCCACTTCCACAGAGCCCGCCCTGGCGTCAGACTTTTACAAAGGTGAGAACCGGACACTCCGCCCATCTCCTTTGGGTCACTGCCCATTGGGTCTTGTGGTTTTATTGTGGGGAATCAACCAAAGGCCCTATAACATTCTGCCTACTAAATCATTTTGATATGGGCTGTGCTATTGAAAGTGGTATTTTAAAAAAATCTTGCTAGACTCCTTCCCCTGAGTAACCTCTGTTGAGCAAGTACAAAGTCTAAGCTTTGAAACCATTTTGGGGTGTGAATATGTCCCCGTTGTGCCTCCCCCCTCCCACACAGGGACAGCTGCGATACCTCAGTCAGTAGAGCACGAGACTCTTAATGTCAGGGTCGTGGGTTCAAGCCCTACAGTAGGCAAAAGATTCCTACATTTTAGCGGGTTAAGACTACGTGGCTCTCATGGTCCCTTCCATCTCTACAATTCTGTGATTCTATAATTCTGTGAATAGTTGAATTACATGGTGGATTCAGTTCAAGTGACGAAAATCAATACAATATGTTGCCTGTGGCAAGCAGGGCCGTTGCTTTCTGTACTTCATTCATTTTTAATTAAATGTTATTAAATTAAACTCTGATTTGCAATACAATGCTCCTGTTTTGGGAAGTCTAGGAAGTCACTGGAAATAATAATAATAATAATAATAATAATAATAATAATAATAATAATAAATTATTTTATTTATATCCTGCCCTCCCCAGCCGAAGCCGGGCTCAGGGCGGCTAACAACAATAAAATAGTGCAACATTCTAAAAACAATTCATTATAAAACTTATTTAAGATCCAATTGGTGGCAACCATTAAGCTTAAATTCTGTAAAGATTGCCAAAGGCTGCACCCTGACGAAAGGCCTGGTGGAACAGCTCTGTCTTGCAGGCCCTGCGGAAAGATGTCAAGTCCCGCAGGGCCCTAGTCTCTTGTGAAGAAGAAGAAGAAGAGTTTGGATTTGATATCCCGCCTTTCACTCCCTGTAAGGAGTCTCAAAGCAGCTAACATCCTCCTTCCCCTTCCTCCCCCACAACAAACACTCTGTGAGGTGAGTGGGGCTGAGAGACTTCAAAGAAGTGTGACTGGCCCAAGGTCACCCAGCAGCTGCATGTGGAGGAGCGGAGACGCGAACCCGGTTCCCCAGATTAGGAGACTACCGCTTTTAACCACTACACCACACTGGCTCTGTGACAGAGCATTCCACCAGATTGGAGCCACAGCCGAAAAAGCCCTGGCTCTAGTTGAGGCCAGCCTAACCTCTCTGTGGCCTGGGACCTTCAGGATGTTTTTATTTGAAAACCATAAGTTCCTCTGTGGGACATACCAGGAGAGGCGGTCCCGTAGGTACGAGGGTCCTAAGCTGTATAGGGCTTTAAAGGTTAAAACCAGCACCTGGTTGGAAAGAGATTTAGTCTAATGTTGCACCATAGATCACAGTCTCCAAGGAAGATGGGGATGAAGTGTTGATGGCAAGTCTTTTGCTGACTTCCGTGGTGGCTTGCTTCTGAGCTCTCCTGGAGTTATTGCTGAGGGTTCTTGTAGGATTTTGTCTTGTTTCCCTCCACTGGGAACTGTGCATCTCAGAACTGCTTCTCACGTTGCAAAGAAACAGGGAAACAGAAAGCACAAACAGCAACTTCCGTTAGGTGGTAAGAGCGATTTGTGGGTCTTCTTCCTTGGAGAGGTTTGGGAGCTTTGCCATCTCTCTGTGATATACAAAGTGGACTTTTCGTGCAGTTTTTCACTGCTTTGGTTTGTGCTCTTCATGCAGGAGAAGATGTGAGTATCGTTGGTTTTGGCGTCTTTGGCCAGGCCTGCGGCCCATCGGTAACATCTGGGATCCTGTCAGCAGTCATCACTGTAGGAGATGAGCCTGTGATGCTTCAGGCAACCTGTGCAGTTCATGGTGGCTCCAGCGGGGGAGCCCTGTTCTCCACGCACAGTGGGAAACTCCTAGGTACAGCCTCTTTCTCCTTGTTCCTTGCTCTCCCATGATCTCACTATGTAGGCGTAGGGATTGGTGCAAATATGGAATCCTGTAATCTCATACTTGCTGCTGTGAGGAAAGCAAGTTCCTAGTCCTTAGTGTGCAATGAACTGCGTTAAGCGTGGAAGCAGTACTTGGTGAAATCTTGTTCAAGGCTGCTAACATTTAAACAACGTTGGTCTCCAACACTGTCTCTGTGTGCGTGGGATGGATTTCTGCTAGTGCAGAACCTTCCTCTCTTCCCACTTACAGCCCTCACCCACCCTCAAAATCTTCTCTGAAGTGTGGGGGGACTAGCAGATTTTTGGGGGAACACCATGGTGGCTGCAAGGCGAGGAGGGTGGAGCGAAATCCCACCACCCAATTTTAGAGAATTCCCATGCAGCCCCATACAATGCATCTCCTCACTGTTGAGGGGGCGCCTTCTAACCCTCTGCAGAGGGTTTTAGGAAGGGGAAGAGAAAGATGTGAGCTCACACAACCCTTTTTACATGCCCAGCAGGTTAAAAGCAGCAGTTCAATAGGCCAAATGCCCGCAAAAAGGAAATGTCTTTGGGTAGTGGAGACCAGGGAATTGGACTGGGCCAAATGGGTCTCTCGTGATAGAGACTTTCCAGAGTCTAGGACCAGCTACAGAAAAGGCCACATAAATCAAATGCAAGGAGGAGCTGGGTTCTTTATCCCAATGATGCATGCCTGGGTATGGCAGGATTCATAATCCTCATTTGTCTTTGCCAAGCCAAAGTACATTACACAACTTTCTCACGCACATGCACTGAGCCTTTGATAATTGGTTGTGTGTAGCAACGCTCTTGATAGGTTTTTATTCTTGCCAACCGTATCTGATCACGGAGGCAGGTTTGTTGTGGAGTGATTTTATCTCTCGATTGCAACCATGTGCAATCGAGAGGTTGCAGCTCTGCAGGATGAAGCTCTTTTATTCCTCTGAATTATGAAATCCCCTTTTTAAATAACAGACTCTAGTTGCACAAGATTTCCTCAAGGTCCTCTCCACCCGCTTCCTTGCTCAAATACTTGTTTAAGTAGCCACTTCTTTGCAATTTGATTTTGGGTTCTCCAGATGTTTGGGAATACCTAATGTTTTTTCCCCAACGGCAGGTATCGTTGCCAGCAACACAAGGGATAACAGCATAGGAGTGACGTACCCTCACCTGAACTTCAGCATTCCCATCACTGTTCTGCAGCCGGCCCTCTTGGAATACCTTCATAGCAGAAGCCTGCGCGGCTTCCGGGAACTAGACAGGGTGAGCCACAAGATCCAGGTTGTGTGGAGACTCCAAAGAGAGCCTGTGGAGGGACCGCTCAGCAAGCTCTGAAGAACTTCAGAAGAGAGAAGAAAAGCATTGTTTATCCATGCCCTGGCTGAGCTATAGCTAGATCAGGGCGGTCCAACTTCTCAGACGAGGTAGGCCGCAAAAAGTGCTTGTAGGCCACACATTGCCTTGTCATGCAGGTGAGGTGAGAAAGGCCTAAATTTGACACACATACACCCCCCCCCTCCGGCCCTCGTGTTGCCTTCCCAAAGCTGGCTAAACAAGGCGCCAGAGTCCTAGAGCCCTTCCATCTCCTTCCCAAAGCTTGGAAAGCGATAACTAGGCTTTGGGAAGGAGGAAGGAGAACTCTAGGTACCTGTCAGAGACCTCAGGCCTCCTTCCCAAAGCCCAGTGCCTCCTGACCTGGCTTGGGGAAGGCAGTGTGAGAACCAAAGGGGGCGGCAAAAGGCATCGAGGGCCCTTAGGCCTATATTATTGGGCCAATGAACCATGCTTATGGGTGGGCTTGAAATCGGCTTTTCTTGGCTGATTTCAGTAGGGCTGAACCTTTTGCCCTTGTTTCCCATCATGCACCTCGCTGTGTCCTTCGCTTCTCCAAATCTCACTCGAGCATCAAAATGCCCCCTGTTTCTCTTGAGCTTGTCTCTGCCTGCTCTTCCTTGCTGGGGGGCTCTCTCCTGCAAACCCCTGTGTGCTGTTTCCACCTGTCTTCTGTCAGTTCTTTTTCTAAACCCACCTTTTCTGTAGACTTCGCTCGGCAGTTGTCCTCTGTGCCCCCCTGGGAAGGGGAACCTCTGGCTCTCCTGAGGCTGTTAAGACTCCAGCTCCCATCAGCCGCAGTCAGCATGTCAAGGATCCAGTGATCAAGGATGATGGGAGTTAGCCTGACAACATCTGGTGGTGGTGGGGTTTCCCCTCCCTGTCTTGCCACTTCTCACAAAAAACCCCTACGTTCTCTCTCTCTCACACACAGAATCACAGATTTTGTACACATCTGCATTTGCTTATATGTATCCCCTGGTACCCTTTCCCTTTCTTTCCTCTGTTGCCTTTATGCACAGATGAAATTTTTACTGTAAGCTCCTGGAGGCTGCCTGGATTTTTATTATATAAATAAACGATAACATAACTACAGTCCTAGCATTCTATATGAAGCTATATGACATCTTTTATTAGTTGGTTGTAGTGTCCCTGCTTGCCACCAGGTGGTGCCACTGTTCCAAACACTTATGTAGATAGACTGTGTTCTAGCAGGGTCTGTTTTTTTTTTCCCATTTCAGTTTGCTGAAATTGCTTTTAAAGTTTTCAGTCAATAACCTTTTATGCAGAAGTTGTTTGCCGCTGTCTCTTGTGTGCGAAACGAAATGAGCTTATTTCAGCGGCTCCCTCTTGCCCGTTCTCTCTGGATCGTTCATTTGTCGCAGAATTGTGTATTTAGGAGGAACATAGATAATGGTTCTTTTTTCTCAACAAGGCCCAGTGCTTAGCCACAGAGAAGAGCTGGGCTTTTAGAGACCCTGACTGTGCCCAGGGAGATCAGTTCTCTTTCCATGATGGTAATGTTCTCCCTTCTCTGACGGGGCCCGTGTTGCTTCTGAATGCCAGCGGCTGGGAATTTGGGGTGGAGAGAAATCTGCTCGCCCTCTGGTGCTTTTTTAAGGCTCCCCATAAGCACCCGCTTGGCCCCCGTGAGAACTGTGTGCTCAACTAGAGACCGGATCCATCAGAGTTTCCACTTGTGCTTTCCTGGACAAAGTAAACAAAAAACAAACTGTGCAAGCCCTGCTTGTATTCTCAGCACGAGATTGCAAGTGCTGCAATAATAAAACAGTAGCTCACCCCCCCCCCCAATGTAGTGCTCAGGGGGACTGGTGGGTGCTCATGTCCGCTTCTTAAAAATAGACGATAAAGGGCAACGCTGCTCTCCACTTCTCAGCAAAAGACGGACTCAAACCATTCTTCTCTTTTTCCTTTCCTCTTCCTTGGGGATGAAATGGATCAGGCCAGCTGGCCTGCAGGGCAGTCTTAGCTCATTTCATTCCTCTGTCGACTCAGAGAAGACCAGGAAAAAGATTGCAATTTATGGAAGCAGGCGTTATGTTCCTTCAGTTTCCAGTGCTGAAACTGAGCAAACAGTAGTTTGGAGGGGCGGGGAGAGTTGTGCTGCGTAATTATTTTTCTGAACACAGCTTGTGCAGTATACATCTTGCTGTTGAGTGAGTTCAAGCCACGCTATGAATTTCTAATAGATATGGTGTAGAGCAGGGGAATGAACTTTTACTGCTGGCTTCAGAGCATCTCCCCTGCTCACCTGTAGGAAAAGTTCCCAGCCAGCGCAGTGAACCACACTTTGCATCTGACAGGCTGAGATCCCCTCAATTTCTGGCTTGGAGGGGCATTGACAAATAAGTGGTATAGCTTCATAGAATCCATTGATCTGGGGAGCTCATATGAGCAAAGTCCTAGGGATAGGAGATGGCATGTGTGATACCCATTTGTCTTCCAGTCTCCTCGAGACAAATGTCCACACAAGGAGCTCCACCGCTTTTGAAGAAAATGAAGACTTCTCGAAATGGTCTCGCCAGCAAGTGTAGCTCCTTCTCCCTCGAGCCATAAATATCTCTTGCTGCAGCCAATTCTTCCAGCCACAGTGCAGAAGAAAAATACTGTGTCTTCTTAAAAGGATGGTGGAAATAAGTTGAGAGTTTTTTACCCCTTGAGTTGTGGAGGGAGGGGAAGAGGCCAGCATTGAAATCTATGTGGCTCCTGCTAGGAAGAAGAAGAAGAAGAAGAGGAGTTTGGATTTAATATCCCGCTTTATCACTACCCGAAGGAGTGTCAAAGTGGCTAACATTCTCCTTTCCCTTCCTCCCCCACAACAAACACTCTGTGGGGTGAGTAAGGCTGAGAGACTTCAGAGAAGTGTGACTAGCCCAAGGTCACCCAGCAGCTGCAGGTGGAGGAGTTGGTGGTCCTCACCACCTCTTGGGGGAGCAAATTCTGTAGGCTAAACACTCTGCTCCTGTTCTGTAAAATTGTAAATAGGATTGTGATGGTATAGGCAGCAGGGGAAGCAATTAAGAATCACTTGGTGGACCCTAGCAACGTTGTCGTTCAACGGAGTGGGCCTGGTCTAGATTCATAAACAGAGGCAGAGTTAGATCATAGGATTGTAGGGTTGGAAAGGACCCTGAGGATCGTCTAAGTCCTACCCCCTGCAATATGCAGCTGCCCCATACGGGGATCGAACCTGCAATCTTGGCACTATCAGCACCATGCTCTAACCAACTGAGCCGTCCAGGCTTATGCCTGTTACCCCTTGCTTGTGGATTCTGCTATGTGGCTCTCCACGCCACCACCTGTGTTTTTCTGCAACTAGTCACACATTAAAATCTTGTTTTATGCAGCGAGGCCTGGATCAAAGCCGGAAAGGTGTAGTATCCTGATCTTTTATTTTGCAGAACTGAATGCTGGATTTTTTCCTCGTCTGAGGAATGACTTCTCATTGTAAAAGCAGTGAGTGGACACTAACTTTGGAACATGCGTACAATGCAATAGACGCCACACAGGTGAAGAGTACTGTCCTATACACTCAAAAGTAAACCCCACCGAGTCCACTGGGGCTTACTCCCAAGCATGTATTATTGTATATGACTGCAGCTGAAGAAGACCATTCGAACATTCCTTCCGAAAGCATCCTTTGTCATTCACAGAATTTTGGTTGCCAGTTGTCCTGTTCCCCGCTGCCTATGGGAAGCCCATAAGCAGGATTGGAGGAGAATAGCCTCCTCCTGCCCATGTTCCTTGCCTAGTATTTGCAGGCATGCTACTTCAGATAATGGAGGAAATGCAGGGGTGTCTTGACAAGCACCCAGGAGTAGTAGCCTTATCCTCCGTTCATTTGTCTTATCCAGGGTTTCCCAAACTTGGGTCTCCCTCTGTTTTTTGGACTACAGCTCCCACCATCCCTAGCTAGCAGGGTCAGTGGTCAGGGATGATGGGAGTTGTGGTCTAAAAAACAGCAGGAGACCCAGGTTTGGGAAACCCTGGTCTAATCTAAGGTTACCAGATTTTTTTCAATGAATCCGGAGACACAATACATACATACTACACGTTCAGGACGATGTTGCAGTGATGGCAGTGGCAGAGGGGCGGCTGCCACCTTGACCTCAACCGCCACATTTCCCCTTCCTTCGAGGCTTCTATCTCCTTTCTTCCTGAGCCTGGGCAGCCCCTGAGTTGTTGGTTCTTCAGTGGTGGTGGGGAAGTGGTGCACGGTGGGTCAGGCATGGAAGGCGGAGAAGGAGGGCCGAGAGCGGTGGCGGCGGCAAGGCTCGGGCAGTGCGATGCCTCCCCTCCCATCGGAGCAGCCCCAATCCCATTCCTACTTGCGTGCAAGCAGGAGGGGGCGGGGATCTCTCAGCTGGGAAGGGAGGCTTCCCATTGCCTAACTGAGATCCCTGCCCCCTCATGCTTGCACGCAAGCTCTGATAGGCAGCGTGAAGCCTCCTTTCCCAGAAGTTGGGAGGCTGCTCCGATAGGCTGCGTTTCCCGGGGACATTAGATGAAATTGGGGGCATTACAGGGATGGAATTTGTCCGGGGACTTATTCGCAAATCCGGGGACTGTGCCTGGGAAATGGGGACGTCTGGTAACCCTAGTCTAATCCCTTCCAAAATGGATGGGTTTGTGCTACCCAATTCCATAGGGTTGAATGAGCTGTGTCCTTCAACGAAAAGAGAATGCGTATTTCCCCCAGTCCTGTACAACACACTCTTTTTACTCCAAGGAAAAAAGGTCTTGGCTCAGCACAGTGTAAATGCTGCAAGGAAGATGCACATGGGAAGTGCAAGTGTAAAAAGGCTTCTCAAATGGCTTAATGCAAGGCAGCATTGCATCACTGCACTTTGCAAACCATGACTGCTGATTTTGTTACACATCTGATCTGTACGCTGTGCAGCTTCATTTGCAAAGGGAGCACCTTGCTGGAGAGCCAGTTTGCGCACAGCTTGTGGATAATTGTGAACTGAAGCCCCCAGGGACCTTCTCGTTGGTTGAGCTGGACCTACTCTTAATGCCCTCCCTTTGCCTTTTACTGTTTCTCCTGCCATGGAAGCCATCAGAAAGCAGCCTTGCCTTGTTCCTAAATTGCGGGGTAAGCTGTGACTTCCGCTCGCTCGCACGCACTAGGGGGCAGTGTGGTCCTTCGGCAGCTCCGCTCTGCCGTCCTCCAATCTCAGCCTATGCCAGCAGCAGTCTATAAAGCTGCGGAGTGTTCATTTTGTGCAAATGGTGTGATCAAAGTGCAACATGGGGCTGCTGCTCTTTTGCCGGCTCCTAACAGCCACGTGATGGGCAGCAACCCCACGTTCTCTTTTTCCTGGGGTGGAATCCCAATTGCCTGACCCACTTTGATTTCTGCAGAGGCCATAGGGGTTGTTTCAACGTTGATGTGAGTTTCTGGAGTTCTCCTTCCTCTGGCTTCATCCTCCACTTGCTGGCGTGAGATTTGATTCATGGAATCGTAAGAGCTCAAAAGGGTTCTTTGGGATCAAAGGACAAGCACCCTGTTTTGCGTTCAAGCCAGGGCTAGCTCTGGTCTTGTTAACTATAAAACCGATGTACTAGCACATTCACTAAATAAATATTGGAAGCTTGGAAGAGTGAGAGTAACGAGGATGTTGCAAGTAGCATGTGGTGCAATTCTAGGCATGTCTACTCAGGAGTCCCATTGACTTCCGTGGGGCTGCCTGCCAAACAGGTGTATTGCAACTTGCCTGTCTCACCTGTAAAACACAGGAGGGTGTGGCGCTGGAATCCCTGCAGTCCAGGAATGCCCTCTTCTTGTGTGGTCTTAATAGGCTTCTTCTGGTGACTGAGGAGTTATGCCTCTCCACTGACTTGCCCATCGTGACGTCCCATTATTATTATTGTTATTATTATTCCTCACCCATCTGGCTGGGTTTCCCCAGCCACTCTGGGCAGCACCCAACAGAATATTAAAAACACGGTAAAACTTCAAACATTAAAAACTTCCCTAAACAGGGCTGCCTTCTGATGTCTTTAAAAAGTCAGTTTATTTTCTTGACATCTGGTGGGAGGGTGTTCCGCAGAGCAGGTGTCTGCTTCCCTGC